ATCCCTTTAAGAACTCATCTTGGGTTAATTGACCATCGTTATTTTCGTCCATTTTTGCAAATATATTTTTTGCTCTTTCTTCTGCTGAATCAGCTGGACGATTAGATGAGCACGCTCCTAGCATGTCATAAATTGCCTGAAAAGTACATCAAATATTATTAAATACCATGACAGAGTTTGACCAATTCTGAGGGAAATATTTCGAAAAGAATGGCTTGTATATTTCATTTATTTTAAACTAAAAAATCAAAAGAAAGTCAAGTTATACCTGAACAATTTTGGTCATTTCTTGTATGTCTATGACACCATTGCCATCGACATCGTACATTCGAAAGGCCCACTTTAACTTTTCCTCTGGTGTTCCGCTTGAAGTTACATCTATTGCGAGTAAAAATTCCTGAAAGAACATTATTATATTTAATATAAATAGGTATATTTTAGGCTAAATAAATTTTTTATTATTAAGTGAGTGTCATGCGTCAAGGGAGTCCATACATATCTGTACAATAATAACACAATATGCATTCTCATCACATATAGAATATATATACGATCATCCCAATTCACAGGCCAAACGATGGATACCCAAATATGTAAAAATGTTTCAGGTAATGCGTTTTTTAATCTATTGAAAGCGTTGGAGCCACAACAGGCGTAACAAAATCCCTAACAACCATCAAATTTAAAGAAATATTAAGTTTAAATTTATTTAAACTTTACAAAAATGTACTATCCACATTCAACTGGCGAACTCTGTTAACTGGTAGTTCAAATGAACCCTCACTGCAATTGTTAACTTTATTTCGCAACATTTAATTCTTTTTACTTGCGTTTCCTTACCTACACAGCCTTCAAATGAAATTCTGTATCCTGAAGCCGAGAGAAAAAGTGAGTAATGGAGGAATAATTACCTTAAAGTCAATATATCCATTTTTGTCCATATCGAATGTACGAAAGACATGGTCGCAAAACTCTTCCGCATTTCCGGATGGAAAAAACATTTTATACATATCGACAAATTTAGCTGGCGTCAATCGGCCGTTGGGACAATCTTGCTACACAAAAAGAGAGACGGAACGTACATATTTTTGAGACTTTTCGCCCGTTGGTGTGGTAATATTTGTACTCACCTTAAATCCTTTATACCACTCTTTAATAGTAGCCTCGTCATATCTCGTATGGGTTTTTAAGAACTCCATGTCTTCTTTGGTTAAACGGTCTTTACTACTCAAGCACCCCATATTTGTTCACTGTTTATAACTTTTTAGGAGCTAAATTGTGTGTGTATTTAAGTTTTTTCCTTGTTTAAATTGCTTCGCCAGGTGTGTACATTTGAGTTAATTTTTATTTCTGGACAGAAAACCTACTCGAAATCAATAATTTTGCTTGTATAGCATTACGTTAACGATATGTATGAATTGTGGCACGAACAAAATGATGGTTGAACGAGCGACTCATTTATAAAATTTTCTTGATAATAATAAGCAAAGTTGTACTTGACTATTAACTTGTATATTTCAAACCTGATGTGTACCGAAGGACTAATCAAATGGTTGAGGCGCATGCGCGGAAATTGTCTCTATACAGGACGATTATTGGTTAACCATATTTTCTGTACACGGTAGGACTTTTTTAAAAGAGAAACAGGGTTGCCAACGCTCACCAAGGACTATTATTTATTCGTTTTCGTTAATTTAATTTCGTTTTTAATTTAATAATGCTAAAAAAACAGTTTGAATAAGAAAAAACAGTTATTGTCGTTGAATAGTTTTCCTGGTAAAGATATATTGTAATCCCAGCGTAAAAGCTGCTTCATTATACTAGCAAAGTATGCTAATTGCTTTCAGCTTTTTATATTAATTAATTTTATATTAATTAATTAATTAAAAACCAATAGAGTTTAAGGCGAGTTCCATTTAAAAACCAGTTTTTTTTATTGTTGTTAAAAATTATTTATATACAAGCAATGCAGAGCTGCAAATTAAAAGCTTATATCAGTTCGTTCCCACGTAGAAGGGTTACCTCTTTAACCCCTTAAACAAAACGCCACACAAATGAAAGTACGATACCGTTAGAAAGCTAAATACCGTTCTGCAGAAAGCTTAGATCAATGATCTAATAGTTTCGATATTTTATTTCACAAACACGAGGTGACATTATGCTAATCATGTATTTGTTAAATCTTTTTGAACTGAAGACATTAACTTTTTGTGATCACTTTATCGGAAAACAATTTGAACAATCTTCTGCAAGGGTATATAATATAGTTTATATTGGGTTTTCATTATTTTTAGAATTTATTTGCAGCCGTGTATGCCTTCGCACATTTAATGTTACCAAATTCTTGTTTTTTATTATTGTTATTAGTTCATAAGTTTGATTATTTTTAAGGGTTTACACAAACTGTTTGGATATATTTAAATAAAATAATGTCTGTTTAATTGGCTGCTTAGGTATTTAGTTAAACATGCATTTTAGGCTATATTTAAGCTAGGCACGAACATTATCGATGCGTTATATTCTTTATTTAAAAGATAAGTTTTACTTACATCAGATAGTGTTCCGTCGACCAAGTCAAATAGCATTATTTACCTCTTGAGGCTAATAAGCTGAAAATAGAAAATAAAATTAAATTAATGTTGAGTTATAATAAAGACTAGAAAAAAAAAGTTAACTAAATGAAATATAATATTTAGAAAGATACAATTTACAAAATATTTATAGAAAAATTTAAAGAAATTAATAGGTTAATGTTATCTTTATGATTTTCGCAAGCTTTTAAATATTTTTCAAGTTCCCAAGAAACCATAAAATCCATAAATATATAAGAAATATATATTTATAAACTGTGTGATACACTCATGTACCGAAAATCGCATTTCACATCTAAACGAATTCTTTTAAAAAGTCAATAAAATGATCCAATTATCTGAAAACTCAAAAGTAGGAAATTAGGTGAGTAACTTAAAAGCTGCCATTAGATGTTTTTTTTTTATATATATTTTTCTTTTTTCAATGAACTAATTCTCATTTTATATTGTAATTGAGATTCTGGGCTATTAATTACTATTACTGCGATCTCTGTTACTACTCCTCGTGGCGAAGCACTCGAAAACAAAAGAATTTCAAATCCACTGAGCGAAATGGAATTTTGGCACACGCACACGCCTGCGTGTCACGTGGGGAGCACGGCCCGCGCCTATATTTTTTTCTGCCACAACATTTTCTGTTATGGCCTTTTATTTGCCTATAACTTCTGCACTTCTGTATATTAAACAACCGAGAACTGAGAACTGCACTTTCCAGGCCAACATAAAACTGAATATTCCTTGTAGTCCAAGTCTAAGCTGGGCTCATTTCCAATAATCGAATGGCATTGGCCCCCAACTGACCGACCACACGTCCTCACTCCCACTGGATACTCCACAGAACCTTCTTACATAAAATGGCACTATTTGATCCAAGGAATTTAAATACATTAATATAACCGGCTCCAGAGATGTGGGACTTTCAATTTAAATTAAGAAGGTTGTTTGTCCATACGTCTGTATGTGTGTGTGTGTGTGCAATGTTTGTATATTTGCAATGAATTTGTTTGTCACACAGGCGGCACATGCCCTCAAAAAACAATGCTTAGCGCAATTCGCATACGCATTTTTATTTCCGATATAAATTCGTCCTAAATTGTTATTTTTGATATTTATATATGTATTTACATGCATATATACATATGTACACACAATATATGCAAGCAAAATTAGCGCAGTGTGTATATATGGCACTCTCGCACTCGAATTTTGGATGCCTTCACTTCCGGAATGCGATTATTACCTGAAGAAAACTGACACATTGATTTTGGGCACATTTCTGCAACCTGCTAAATGAACAATACCACTTTTTGCAATTGCAATAAAATTCGAAAACACAATCAATACAACAAATTTAGGGGTGGCAATAGAGGTGGACAAAGTGATGCGGAACCAGTGATTTGGAACTTGTGAACTGGATCATTTGGGGTGTTAGACACGACAATTCCCAATTGTTCCACATAAAATATTTAAATTATTAATATTAAGAAAGTTTCAAATTAACAACATTTTTTATGTAATTTAATTGAGATTAGGAAAATTTGTCATGTTTATTTTTTTTATATATTTTATATTTTATTTGCTCTTAAACAGTATGTATAATTTTATTAATTATATTATATTAATATTTTATATTTAAAATGTAACAAGTTTTAAATTAATAGATTAAAAAAGCATTTTTTAGTGTGGCAAAACCGATTAACGATTACTTATGTTAAGCTGGCGCATAATAATCGGCATATAATCTATCGGCATCGGCAATGGCCCGCGGTTTAGAGCCGCTATATAATATAGTCATCCGATGTTTATAAATTTAATACTGTGATTCTAGAATGAAAATAAGAAAATGGTAATAAACTGAAAACTATTAGTTTTTTATATATTTATTTCCCTATCGTTTATATGTCAGCTATATATGTATACAATATAGGGGTTCGATCTACCCCATTGAAGGTTTATTCAGATACATAACTTAACAAATTTAAAAACTATAGTTTTCTCACAAACGGACACCCGGTCATTTCTAGATCGCCTTGGCTGTTGATATTGATCATCTTCATTACATTTTTAACATCTGACTAAAATTAAAATACTCACTGCAAGGGCATGAATATTATAAATATTATAATATTTATTTGTATTATTTTAATATTTAAACAAGTTTACAAGCAACACAGAACAAAACTCATTTAAATTATTATATTAAGACCCTTGCAGAGAGGTTTAGCTATCCAAATTGTCAAATTATTTTATAAATGTTTGTTTTTTACATTTTCTAATAATAAGATATTGGTCCTAATCCGCTGATTGTACCGGTACATAGGTGTTAATAGTGTTTCGCTCAATTAAACTAAATATATATGTATGTCAACAATGTATATAGCTTCTGCTTCCCGATATATTTAGATTAAGTTTTCTAAGTGCATTTGTTTCGAGCAGCAGTTTGATCAATTAGTCTTTTTTCTTTTATACCAGTATAAACACTATTGTAAAGGTATTATCGCTTAATTTTCAAGTGAACCAAATATCCTAGATACCTTATTAAAATATTCAAAGGAAAACTAAAGTGACAATCTTGCATTAAATAATATTAAATAAAATAATTAAATAAAATATAATTATAATATAATTAATTAAATAAAATGATATTTAAATATTGTTTAAAATTAATCAATGGCAAGGACTTATCCTTGATTTTAGTTTTCAATCTTCCATATGACTTTAAATTTAATGGTTTTCCTTGAATGCCAAATATGTGTGCTAAAAAGTCTTACGTTAACGGATGCTGTAAGCCTTTTATCACTTCAAGACAAAAATAGATGAACATAGGTGCTAAATACACTAATGAAATTAATCAAGTTTGTCCTTAATTCGACCAGTTTACTTTATTCTTCAACCTATTTTTAGAAACTGATAGAGTAATTTAATACTTAAACACCATAAATGGGAACTAATCTGCAATTGTTTCGCTATGTTATGCAACTTCCAAGTAAAAAAATAAATTTAAATGGTGGAAAAATACGAATCAGTAACAGTGTCTGATAAATTGTTTATTATTTGATATATTTCGGAAACTCTTATTAAAAAAAAAAAAAATAGATATTAAAGCTTTGATTAATTATCTTTCTTCCAGTAATATGGGAGACGAAGAGGATCCATGGGGTTTCGACGATGGCGGCGCTGCTGCTGAGGAGCCATCAGCAGGCTCAACATCTAATCAGGGAACTCCTGCTCCTCCCTCCAAGGCACCGAGTGTGGCTTCCGACCATAAGTCTGAAAGTGTGGCGGTCGGCGGGACTCCGGCAGGCGAGGAGGCGGCTGCTGTAGAGGAAGAAATTGAGTTCAAAGCGCCTCCACCTCCGCCAGAAGACGATGGCTACAGGAAACCAGTTCAATTGTACCGACACTGGGTCAGGTTGGTGCCTTACCTTATATGCCGTGCTATTTTGCGATTCTTATGCAATGATCTATTTTCAGGCCAAAGTTTCTCCAATACAAATATATGTACAACTACAGAACCAATTATTATGATGATGTGATTGACTATATTGATAAAAAACAAACTGGAGTGGCCCGTGACATACCTAGACCCCAGACGTGGGCGGAACGTGTCCTGCGCACTCGAAATATCAGGTAATATTACAAAATAATCCTCGGGTATTTAGAGTTATAACTTAATTTCTGGATATGTTTTTTCTATTTCTCATTTTGAAATCAATAGCAGTGGCATTGACTCGTTTGCTCCATCGGCAAAGAGGGACAAGCAATTAATCCAAACACTGGCGGCCTCGATTAGAACTTATAATTACCACACCAAGGCATACATTAACCAAAGGTATGCCAGTGTGCTTTAGTGAGCACACTTAATTGTAATAATAGAAACGTTTTAAAAGATGAACTCGTAGTCATAACAAATATGATCGTTTTTAAATGATCTATACATATAGTAAGTCACTAGGCGTCTGTGTTTTTGCGCATCTCCACGCAATGTTGACCTTATATGTAGAATGAGGTTAATACTGCTCGGTAAAACTTTTCAAGAACCAAAGATTATATTTTGTATATTTTCTTACAAGCGTAATTTCTGTTAATATATTTTTATATATATATTTACGTATATTAACACAACTTACCTCTTGGATACATGGTATTTTTAAGATTATTTACTTCATATCTAGAAAAGTAAATAAACTAAAAAACTGATTTATATTGGTAAGCTAAAATAAAAAAAAACTGTGCAATAAATAAAAGAAAAGAAATATTATGATTTTATTTTGGGATACCTTATTTTTTGTCATCTCAGAAATCCCTTCAACATCAATGCTACTCCCTTTCCAAAAATATTTAGAAATTTTTTCCTTGACCTCAGCAGAAGACACATCCACCTCGGACAACTGCCAGACTAGTACTGCTCTCTAATATGAGAGATTGGTGCAGTCCAAAGTCCAGAACATATAAAAGCTACAAATACAAGTAAGCACAGCCTAAAAAGCCATAATAGATTAAATTAACGTTTTGTATGCTTGTGAATTAGTAGAGCAAACAGAGTGGACAAGTGACTCACTCATAAACTATGGTTTATATCAATTCAAATATAAAATCTAAAACATCTAAAACTACAGTAAATAAAACACTTAAATGAAAATAGTTATAATAGTAAGTTACTTCTATAAATAAATCACTAAAATGTAATCAATTTAAGCTACCAGCCTCACTGGTTCACTCTAATCACAACAAGCTTGTAGGTGCAGTCAGTTGCTATAGTCTTTTATTCATATTGAAACCTTAAAACAGAACACAATGTTATTTACGAGACATGCATTATGTTTTATTTTTACACTATTTGTGGTTAAAATAAGTTGTACAGATTTATGGTAAGTAAACGTTAGTTTTATCTAATGACAAATAAATTATTTTACCCTAACAGTAATTATTTTCAGTTTAGAAAACAATATACACGCCCTTATTCTAGCTAGAGGAGGAAGCAAGGGTATAAAACTAAAAAATCTAGCTCAAGTTGGCGGCTATTCATTGTTGGCCCGTACAATTAAAACAATTAAAAATTCTTCTTGTTTTAAACACATATGGGTTTCCACGGACGATAAAAACATAGCCTTGGAAGCACAAAAGTGTAAGTGTTTTAGCAGTAAATAAAAAAGGGTAATTTACAAGTGTCACAAGCAGTGAAATATCCCTCAAAAGCCTTTACAATTCACAAAGTTTCCTCTTTCATAAATTGACTCGCAGTTGGTGCATTGGTACATCATCGTCCACTTCAATTTGCGAGAGATGATACTCCTTCCATTGATGCCATTGCTGAGTTCTTGAATTCACACACAACTATTCAAGATTTTGCGCTCTTTCAATGTACTTCCGTATTTTTAAAAACTAACTACATTCAAGAGGCAGTGCAAAAATTCGAGTCACACGACTGTGTTTTTGCTGCCAAGAGGTAAGACAGTCGTTATATTAATTATAGTAATATATATTATAATTTTTATATTAAATTTAGATCTCATTACCTGCGTTGGAAAATGGTTGACGGTTTCTTGGTACCTGCTGAATTTAATTTAACTTCCAGGCCAAGACGTCAGGACTGGAAGGGAGATATAGTTGAAACGGGAATGTTTTATTTTTCAAGAAGACGTCTGGTGGATATTGGTCTGCTACAAAATAATAGGTAAAAATATTTATTATCCACAAGTCAAAATAATGTTATACTATTTAAAATTTGTAGGTGCTCCATTGTGGAAATCGATGCCAATGACGGCCTGGAGATTGATTCGGGGCACGACCTCACCATGGCAAAATATATTTTAAGTAGTAGAACGAAAATTGATCTATAAAATTCTTTGCTATAATCTAGAGTTAAATAGTTTAACACTTAAAGTTTTGGGTTAGCTGATATTTAATGTCGAGTTCGTTCTTTTTGGATATATAATAGTTTCAGGATATTCTAAAATAGTCCACATGGTAAGAGTTAATTCTAGAAATTACTAAATTGCTTCGGATACTATTTACTTCGGGGCAATTACCATCGATGTAAAGCGACTGATTCGTCTGGTCAGGAGCCTTGGGAAATTGCTCGTTTCGGTGGGTTTCAGGATCAGGCAAGTTCGTCCGCACCGAGTTGAAAACAACGTGGTGCTACTGATATTCGTTGCACCTCCTCCTCGAGGTGCTTCTGAAGACGTATCCTTATCGGTGGCTTGCTCTTGATGCTTTTGGTCCTTGCTTAATGGCTGGGTTCTGGAGCTTGGACTTATTTGCGGTTCTTTGGAGAAGAAATTATTCAAGCCATTTTGGTTGAGTCCTTCCTCTTCGCATTCTTCCAACCTCATTTCCTTGCCGGACTGCTGACTGAAGCTGCAAGCGCATTTGGAAATGTGTCCCTGTTGTATCAACTGCCCCATTTGCACTGGGAACTGCTGCTGCTGGTTGTTCACGAACCTTGCACAATTGCAGTGTGGATAGGGATGGACTTTCATGCGGCAGTGGGACCACTGACTGCGGCTGGGCATTGGTTGGGCCTGACAGGGGTTAATGCCAGGACGAAAGTTGCCGCCGGGCGCAAAGCCAGTTTTTGAAAGGACAGGACGAAATGCGTGATGACTGACCTGATTGCTCGCAGGCATGCCGCCCTTGTTGCAGTGCCCGGGGAATCCCTGGGATGACTGGTGCTGCGGACTCGATACTGGACAGCAGAATGCGGAGCGGCTACAGCAGCGATAAGGATATCCATAGGGAGTTAGCAGACAGCGGCCCAAATTCTGAGGGGAGCAACAGGTTGTCTTTGACATTTGGCAGCCTTGTGGAGGCCTTGACAGACAGCAATTGCTGGTGCAGAAGGAGGAGCAAGATGCGTTGCTCGATACTGCACTTTGCAATTGCTGGCAAGGGGCCACAGAGATGCCAGACCTGGAACTCGCCTGAGGCAAGGCCACTAAGCTGATGGTAAAAAGGGGCGAAGGCGCCTGGCTGTTGTTTGGGAGCTGCGGTTGCTGCTCTTGCTGCTGTTCAATTTCTTGTGTTAGTGGCTGCGACTGCACTTGGAGACTGAAATTCTGAGCACCCCCAGCTTCTACTCGGGTTTCTTCGGCACTCGAAGAAGGATGCTGGATGTGAGGCACTGGCACTGCGGTTGGTACATAAACTGGCTGCGGTAGATTTGGAGTTGCTTGGACACCTTTTTCTAAGGAGGTATAATTATAATTATATTTAAAAATTAATATATGAATATTTCACTTAACCCATTGCTGGCATTACCTTCAAAACAGCTGTTATTGATTGATGCCATATCCACTTGGGAGCCCATCTCATCTGTCTGACATTCAGCATGGGAGCTCATCACTTGTGATACCGTCTCCAGCTGACAGCATTCGCTTTGGCTTTCACTATGATCCAGATACTCCATAATTTCATTTTGGGTCGAAGCATCCTTTACCACAGTAAAGGAGGGCCTGTTGGCCAGTATCCTGTCACCGATCTGTATAAACAGCGGCGTACTCCCAGCGTTCTGAATCTCATCCAGCGGTGTAATGCTCATGCTTATCTTGTCCATACTCAAGGCTGCTTCACTTTCGTCTGAACCCACATGGAGGTCATTGGTTTCTCTGGAATCCATGGTAGCCATGCTAACGCTGTGTTTCTTCCACTTCCTCGGCTTGACCCTCGGAGGCCATTTAGGAATGCGGCGTCTAGCGGGCAAAGTTCTGCCGGTTTCTGGATTGGTATCCAGCATTTTTGAACCAACCTGATCATCTTTGCCCACGATGATCAGAAAACAGCATGTGTCCTCCTCGTTGGCCTCAGATTCAATGGAAGAATTAGCGTTATTCGGAGCACCCATCATGTCCAACTTTTATTTGCCTTGAGTTTGGCAAATTTGCATTCAATTGATGTTATATTTTTCACAGCATTTTAGATGATTTTGGTAGCATAAATTTCGAAATAAGTTTTCTCAATGCCCTAGCGATGTGAGTTTCTAGTAACAATGGGTTACTTTCTGTTTGGAGATTTATAGTATTTAAAGAAATATTTATTAATATTAAAAATGTATTATTTTTGGCATAACAAGTTAACAATGAATGAATTTCTCATTCCACTGCTAATATTATGAGGTTAAATAAAGTCACTGCCACGATATTTGGTTGTTTTCCGTGTCAGTGTAAGAGCTAACATTAAACCTTTACCTGAATGTGAAAATTAATCCGACATTAAGAAATCAAACCTAATTTAGTCTCTAATATCTGTATGTAGCAATCCAATTTTGTCCATTCAAATACAAATTTCAACAAAATCAGGTAAATTATAATGCACAAAATTTAAAAGTCGGCTTGTTGAAGATGTTCTGCACGGAGAGCTGTGAGCATGGCTGCAATGCAACGTCTTCGGGAAAGCTAATCTCTGGCAATGGGACGCCAACCCAGACGCAACAGCAAGGACAGCAACAATTCAGCATGTGCTATGCTCCACTGTCGGTGCAGGCGCAGGAGCTGGGTGGCAAGTGCGAGGCAGAGCCGCCCAGGGTGGGAATGTGTTTGGTCACCGAGGGACCCGAGGGTCTCAGGTAGGAATCGGACCTTTACTGAAAATATTGGTGATATATATTACCAAGAAAGGATCATAGATCCAAGATCATAGATTCTAGATCCTAGAGTCTAAATTTTTAGTTAAAGAACACGTTTCTCTAAAATTACCTTTTCAGCATTGACTGCAATGTTCCCTTGCCCAATTCCTTCAATTTGGACGAATACAGAAAGCAGATGGTCTGCTCCTGCGGCCCGTCTGTGAATAGCGGTGGCTACATTGATAGCTTCTGTCTACCGACCTCATCAGCAACTGCTACTCTCAATCCCATCCAGACGCAGGCCTGCAGCTTTCAGTGCCAGTGTTGTGCCGTCGAAGCTCCCTCCTCCTCAGGGTTCGACGCGAGATTAAAGCAGACCACAACTGCTCCATCATTAGGACCTTGTCCAATGCCCAATCTTGTGACGAGAACTTCCAGACCAGAGCAGACGATGACGGTAAACCAGAAGGTTTCTCCAGGATCGGCCGTAGGGCCGCAGATCTTATATTTGGCTGCCCCCACCTCGCCCGTGCCTGAGACAGAAGCCAATTGCTATCCGCCAGACCAGCAGCTACCAGCTTACATATACAGTATGATTCCGGTGCAGTGCATCTCCCAAGTCTGGAGCCCGCAGGCCATCAATCTGGTGCCAGTGGGTGCGCCAGTGCCTCAGCCGCAGCTTCTACCGCACCAGCAGCTTGTGACGAATCCTGCACAGAATTCGCAGCTGCCGACGCAGCAGTTGTTGCGCTACGACCTACCCCTTTCTCGCCTGGTAGCGGAGCTCCGACGGGAGCGGGACAGGCCCTGTTGCGAGTCCACGACTCCGGTACCACTGGCTTTCCAGCTATATGCACCCGCTCAACCGGTGACTTTTTATGACCCCCCAGAATCCGCGGTTAATCCAAGTCTGGCCAAGGTCGAGGTTCCTGCTGCAATGCCTTCACCCGATCCGATGTCAGTTCCCATTGCTCCACAATCAGTATCGTCAGCACCGCCAACTCCACCGCCGACGGCGTCTGAACCGGCCCGATCCACCAGAACCCGGTCAGACAGCCCAAAGTGTAGCCGTTCCTTCCAGCGCAGCAAAGAAAAATGGGACAACAATGGAGCTGGAAACATGGCATGCATGAAATGTGGCAATTGCTGGCATTGTCCCCGATGCAGTTGCGGCGCCAATTGCTTCTGGCATCCCGGCTTGGTGCGTACCCCGCCAAGGGACAATAGGTAGTATTGGCACAAATCAAATTATTGGAATTAAAAACGAAAAAAAAACTGATATTTAAAATTATTAAATATTTCTAAAAATCGCAACTAAAGTAGAAGAGTTTGCAGTGTCTTGAAGAGATTAAAGTTAAAGGTTAGAAAGGAAGAATTATATTATATATAATTATATTTTATTTATTTTATTATATATTTGGGGAATTGATAAACAAAGCAGTTTATTTTATTATTTATATATCTATATTTAAACATATACATATCTCTTATAGAAAAAAAATACTATTCAGACCGCAAGGGCCCCATTTTATTTGTCATAAACATTTTTAAGTCATCACTTTAAAGTTAGTTTTAAAAATTCCACAGACTAAAATCACAAATGAGCAGTTTAGACCTTTTAAAGATGCTTTTTCGTATCTCTAGGCACGTCTATTCATATAGTTTGCGGCATAATTGGCCATAACAGATCTAATTTCCAGGTCATGGCTGCTTTGACCTCCCGGACCAATGTGTGGGTTTCCCGGAAACTGCAAGTACTCGGCTGGAGGTGGCGCACTTGGAGGCGGAGGGTCCCTGACTGGGACAGCATATGGCTCCGAGCGGTGGTCAGTGGTGAGGCGGCGATGTCGAATTTTCCTAGACGATAAAGAAGACTCATCTAGGGTCTTGGTGCTGGTAGGACAGAACGGTGGTGGCGGCTGCAAGACTCGGTGTGGCATTTCGAGGGCAGACCTAACCATTCCAGCATGGGTTTCCGCAGGATTGGGTGGCATCTGTTCGTGATAAGGCTGCATGGCATGTTGATGCACATTCATATCCTGGTAAGCAGGTGAATATACATAGGCTGGCGGATGGTACAGCAACGTATGTTGTTGGTTTACCATTTGCTGGTGCTGAGTATATTGGTCCTGGCTTGGCTGGACTTCAGTTTGAATATATTGCCCTGGAGGGGCCTCCATTTCTTGGAAGTGAGGTTGCTGATATTGAGATTGTTGGTGCTGCTGCTGATGCTGCCATGACCAAGCCAGAGCCTTCTCCTTCTGCTGCCGCTGCTGGTCAGCAATTCTCAGCTCCAGAGTCTTGAGATCGGTTCTCAAATGTCGAAGCAGCTGCTCCTTTTCTGACCTTAGCTTCTCCTCCAGCTTTCTGCTTTGTTCAATTTTGAACAGAAACACGCGCTTCTCCTCCGCATGGCGGCGTTCACAGGCAAGCCGCTCCTCTTGGATTTTCTTCAGGGATTTGCCATAATGATGCAGTTGCTCCTCCTCGCGGCACTTGATACGCTGGTACATTATCCTCATTTCTTGAATTTGGTTTTCTATATTGTACTGATGCTGATGGTAGACCATCAGCTGATGCTGCTGATGCTGTTGCTGTTGCGTGTACAGGTATTGCTGCTGAAGATGCAACTGCTGCTCGTGGTAGGCTTGATCAGCGTAGTTCTCTACACTGGCGGGGTTCCACTGATGGTCTATTTCGGGGGGGAATGTCTCAAGAAATTGGGGTTGCCTTAGGTTTTGGTTGATTCGATCATCGGCATTGTTATTGCAACTGCTGGATTGAAGTAGGTTCTCTCTTAAGGTGGCCGGCTGGACGATGTGATGTATTAGTTGCTGGCGGAGAGCCGAGTTTGTTGATTGTCCTTCCGGATCAAGGGACATGGGTGCTGCTCTAGTGGAGTTATCGACGGGTACTTCGGCCGCCACTAATTGTGGCTGAAGCTCGTTCTCACACTGAGGTAAATAAATGATTGTCTCTGGGTTCTGAAACTGAGATTGCAGTGGATCTTCCTGGTTATCCGGCAACTGTGGATTCTGCTCCTGCTCCTGAATACGCACCACGCTTTCTTCTTCGGTTTGATTGCAATCACTGCTGACATTCATGAGTGGAATCTCACTGTAATTTACTGGGACTTCCGGCTCTTTTTCGACTTTGCATGGAAACTGGAGCAGCGAGTTGAAGTCCAATATTTTGCGGTCTGGCTTGTGCCAGCGCAAATATGGATAGTGCTGTAGTCTTGAAGTGTTTGTTATTATAACACTTTGGCGCTGGCTTTGAAGGATCTTTCGGTTTCTTTCCTCCAGCGCCTCTTTTTCTACGACTTCTTTCTTAACCAAATCAAACAATATATTACTGATCTCTTGTTCATCGGGCAGTTGATTTTTAAGTCCTTTTTCCACCTGAAAATTGTGCATATTTTGGGGCAAACCGCTGGAATCTTGAAGTTCTCCGTGTACTTCATCAGTGGGTTCCTCTTCACGTTTGATGGCCACATTCCCCTCGCTCAATTCTGATCCATCCAACGCCTGCTCGGAGTTCGACTGATCAATCGCTTGAGCCTTCTTCATCTGCTCTGCTACGATTCGAGGACGTCCTGAGCCGACAGGAAACTTGAGCATTCGTAGGTGATACTCCCGATTCTTGGCGTATCTGCTAAGGGTTCGTGTTCGCTGATGAAGTTCACTGCGGGCCAGCTCCTTGGGTATGAAAAGCAGTTCATTAGAGTAGATGCTGGCTCTGCGCTTCTTGGTTTCTGCTCTGAAAAAGTATATATTTACAATAATTATAATTAATTCTTTCGAGAAGATTGGGAATACCTACATGGATAGCGAATGCCGCTCTTCCAGAACGAGGGGTCTGTTTATATCCTCCCCTGAAGCTTCATTCTTCTCAGGATTCTTGGGTTCAGCACAATGTTGGTTATCCTTTGTGTCGTTACTTTCCTTTACCTCCTTCAGCAACTGGGGATCCACTTTCTTTTTTTCACTGTCACTTTGAATAAGCTCCTTATTAGTGTCCTTATGTTCTTGTGCTGAATTCAAAGCTCTTTATGCAAAAAATTAACTATGAAAAATACGTTTCAATTATATATTTTACGTTGCAGCCATACCCTTCGATTGCCGGCTGGTGTTCACTCATCCGTCGAGCCTCAGAATCGGTGAGAACCTCGGATTCTGATTCGGACACGACCATGTCGTGCCAAGAACTGCCGGTGGGCAGTCTTTGCTTCCCTTATTATACGTGAAATTTGTATACAAAAGCCTAGTTACTGGCTGGCTGTGGTATCGAGTGGCATGTCGCCTAGTCTTACGGTTTACAGGATATCGGGTGTAATTACGGCTCTCTGTAAATATAAAGTTAATAAGAAAATTAAGTGTTTATTAAAAAAGTTCGCAATAAGTGACTGTGGACCCTAAGGAAATAGTATCTTGTGAGATGGTGTGTCGTATAGCAGAAACCCCTCGGGGTCTGGCATATAAAGATTTTTCGTCAATAATTGCAAATAAAGCTGCCTAAAAAATAGCTTAGTTTATTTATTTTCTTATTTTTCAGTAAGTAATTAAGAAAATATTCCAATTAATTTATGGTCGCACTGTTGCAAAAGCTAATTGTAATTAATCATTTAACTTATTATGTCTTATAATGTGATGATAAAACTTTCTGTATGTTTTTTTTAAGTTTATTTGATTCATATATTCGGGTCGTATACTTTTCTTGTTTTATTCTTTGGTCTTTCAAATTAATGCACAACGTTTTGGGATTTAAGTTACTCATAACCAAAACATCTAAAATGATATATGAACTTGCTTACTCGTCTTCTGGATTAGGCTGACCCTCAGGAGACAAGTCGAATTTCCTGATATCAAAGCCCGGCATAATTTGAATATCTATTTGTAAACACGAATCGAACTAATAACAAACAAATCTCTTTTAGTTGATTGCCCCTTTCCCAGGTTTCCCCACAGCTTCGATTTCAGTTTAGGAGGTCCGGCGGCGTCGCGACGAAATCCAATACCACCGATGAAGAGCCGACCGAGTGTCGAGTTGCACATCCGAAAAGTGAATGAATGCAAATGAAATTTGCTAATAATACGAGAATTACATGGCCCGCGGGGCGATAACAACGGCGGCGGCCCCACAAGCTCCTATCCGGCAATTATGGGGCATTGAAGGGGCTGGCAGAGCGTTGGCCGCCGCTTCTCCCAATAGATATCGCCGGGAATCTAAACTCACCCTCCCACATAAGCTAGGCTAACCTGGGTGAACGCACTAAGGACACGTCAGTGGCGCTCATGTGACGTGGCCACGTACAATTCAATTCCTTCACTTATAACTGGAAGTGTAACTTTATTTTTATGCCACGAGCTGCCTGAATTGCTCCTGCATATCGAAGGATATATTAATGGACAAGGCGGTTGAATGCGATAGTGTCTTGGCTTTTAATTACTGATTTCATAGGCATAGTTATTAAAGGCAGTTGGCTATAGTATCTAGATATAAAGTTTTATTTTTTAGTTGTTCCTTTGACCAGACAATATTAAAAGCCTCTTAAGAATTGACTTTTATCGTTTAAATAAATAGTTTTTTATTTTATATAATTTTTTTTTTATATATTTTTATATTTAAATAATTTAGCTTATTGTTCCTTTATTAATATATCCAATAAAAGTTTCAGTTTTATATTTTATATTTATATTTTGAGATGTTCCTTTGACCAGACAATATTAATAGCCTCTTAAGAGTTGACTTTTATCGTTAAAATAAATAAGTTTTGAATAAGTAACAAAACTATAAATAAATAAAATACTGAAAGACATTATTAAAATATATTTACAGACCCGTAAAATAAAATGGCAAGCTTAATTTATTACTTTTAAGATGAAATATTATTGATAATTTTTCCCATTTCAGGCAAGACATAAATACACAAAAATGTCTTTAATTGTTAATATAGGTAAGTTTTTAAACCTTTTCAGCAAGCTGTACCTTATTAAAAAGGCTCCCATGACTATATTTAATAAATAAATATTAATAAAAACAACCACAGCAATGATTTCAAATTATATGCTCTGCGCGCCGTTGACTCTTGTGAACCGATTCACTGAAAAACTGGTTCGTTTCATCGATAAAATGGTGGTTGATGAACCAATTTATGAATTATCGAAGTTTTTCCATCGTTAGAAAAACCTACAAAACAGCTGCCTGAATATCCAGAATTTGTTTTCATTTTGCACATTATTAAATTCACTTTGATAATGGATAAACTAACGACAATTAGTGCAACGCTATTCATGGCCGCCGATGTTTTTGCTATCGTGAGCCTGGCCCTACCGGATTGGATAATCACAGAGTCCGGAACTGGTAAGAGCACGGAAGTGTCCCAAAGTCTCAACGTTGGCATTTACCTAAATCTTTAACTCTTCTTCAGGTGACATCCGGCTGGGCCTTATGTGGACCTGCATGACTCTGTATAACCGGCCACAGGTGTGCTACACCCCCGATCTGCAGCCCGAGTGGCTAGTCGCCCTGATTTGCATATTCCTAGGCTGTATTTGTGTGACCACCACCGTCATTCTTCTGGCCTCTTCCTCCTGCAATCGAAATGTGATCCCCTACGCCCGCTGGGTGGGATTCACGGCCATGGTGCTGTTCTGCATGGCGGCGGTTGTCTTCCCTCTGGGCTTCCACATCGAGGAGATTGGCGGTCAGGCCTACCAGCTGCCCAATACCTTCAAGATCGGCATTTCGTACATTATGTTTGTGCTGGCTTTGTGGATTACGGTGGTGTCGGAGCTGTTTGCCGGAAAGGTCTGTCTGCCGCACTTCTAGAGGCGCGAGGATGGCTTTCCTGGCTTCCTGATATCGTTTGCAGTTTGCTCTGTGATTTGTTATACCTTCTGTTTCTCCCTGATTTCCCTAGCCCTGGATTCTCTAGAGTCCAAGCCCAACTCGAAGTCCCCCTAGCAATTAAGAACTTTTAGTTGTAAAGCTCCAATAGAAAGGACTCATGTCTGAAGATTTTCACTCACTCGGAACTCGTTCTGACCAAAAGATAGTACAATTTTATTTACAAGCAGGAGCTATACGGCAAGAATCTCTGTCTTGCATACCTACTCAAAGCGTCCCTAGATTTAAGATGCCGTACTTTATGTTTCTATAAGTATTCAGTTGTATTTTAAACAGGATTCACTCACTAAAATATAGGTATTCTTTAGAAAAACCTTTCTAAGCGGACACTTTATCTTGCAATAATTTAGATTGGTATAAGCTCGAATTTTATTTAAGGTTTTGTATTCATTAAAATATATATAGCTTAAGACATACAAGCTAAAACACACGATTTTATCTTGTTTTTAATATTTTAGAAGTATATAATTTTTGAGAAATAATTTAGCAAGAGCACGCGAATATCTTTGAACACTGTCACTGGCAAGGCCGCGACGGCAACTGAAAGGCAGAGACAGAGCTGAGTAGGAAACTCAGCGGAGACTCGGGGACTTGCGCCTGCGTTGTGTTTATGTATACATGGTCAGGGCTATCCGAGATCCGAGAATGCTGACCAAGCTCCTGGGCGAAGAAATTCTAACAAGGGCTGCGATATATGTATGTACATAATGTAAAGCGGAGCGGCTGGAGAACATTGCTGACCTCATCAAACATTAAAGATCGCGCGGGCCGGGTACGTTATCGGTTCTGCATTGCTTACAGAATTCTGTTTGAAAACTGAGAAGCGCACAAGCACTTTACTTCTCTTTTTCACCAGACGACCATATAATAAATGTCCTCAAAATATTTTGAGTACTGAAACATGATACGGTAGAAACTCATGGAGGAGAATTTTTATTTATACATAAATACCACGCATTATTTATTGTGAAACCAGAAACAAAAATATTAAATTTTATAATAAATGTGTGGATAATTAAAGGGAACTTGTATTTAAAAAAATTGTTTAAACAATTGATCGAAGGCTGAGAACCCAATCAACCTATAATGATCACCAAAAATACGACTTACTTTACTTATTAAAGCCTGCAAGAACATAGAAAGGACAAAAAAAAAATAAACGAAAAGGGTTATTCAGTTTATTTGTTTTCATTTTTCCAATTATTTTCCCCGCTTGGAAAACATCTTACTAAAATCTTAAAACCCTCTACAAGGTTATAAAAATCAAGAACAATAAATACAACAAAGTCATTTGAATTAATCATTTGTAATATCTTATGTGTTTCCTTTATTTATCATTTAATATTCAATTAAATCGTTTAATAATATCAAATATTGTTCAAACTACTCTTAAAGCTCCTGCAGCGGGTTCAGGGTTCAGGTCTGTTTGTAAACATTTCATTTAAATATGGTTTTGTATTCAAAAACAGTGTCAAAATATTGATAGTTCCGTTGAAATCCATCGTCGAAGCAGGTCAGTTTTCGTAGAGGAGGTATTGTGTGTAGTTTGTTGGGATATGTTAAGGTACACAGGATGCTGCTGTTGAGCTTTGATTTTTGATTCTTAAAAATTAGTTCGCTTTGGTGGCTTCTTTCTTATAAATTTATATACACACATACATATATCGAAATATGATGCCGTGAATAGTTTAGTAACAGTAAAAAACGTTTGAGTAAAAAAATATATAGAGTTTTAATTGATTCTTCTCAAAGAATTTAACTAGTGTTGCTTGAAAAAATAGTACATTTTTAACGAATTAACTTAGATAGTGCTCGACTGGGAGAGAGGGAAAGGGTAGGTAATTTTAAAATTTTTAAAATAAAATTATATAGACAGCCTCGGATTAAATTTGAAAAAAAAAAAACAACAGGGCGGCTAGTAACAAACGGATATGTTTTTGGCTATATTTAAATGTTGGTTAATTTTTGGACTAGGGTGGGCTAAATTGCATTTCTTTGTCTACCATATATTTAATTCGAATCGTATATAATTATTCGCTGTTTAAGTGATGGCTACGCATAAGATTAGCTAACAAATTGTACGAAATAGTCAATAACATTTATATTCTACTAACTAACTAAAAAACAAACCTTTTGCTAACAAATACTTAACATGTGCGCGTTTTTGTGTGTGATGAGCAACGTATTTTAAATGCTTGCAAATTTATTACAACTAAATGAAAAGCTCAAAATAAATAAGAAGATGCTTCGGAGTGACTTTTGGCCTACGCTTGGTGTACATGATCATAAATATCCATTAAATAGTATCAACAGCAATTGGATGATTTACAATTTCCCATCGAATGGTGTCTTTACAAAGTAGGTGACTAGATTGCCCTTGCCCTTGACATAGGTCAGGCCTCGGCACTCGCATTCGTAGCCGGCGGCCATTAATATTTTCGCCGTATTTTCTGTAGTCTGTAAACAAATAAAAATTTATGTTTATAAAAATTATTTAATTTAAATAATTTTCCATTTTCTAAACTTTGAATTTCTAGGAAATAGGATTTTCTTCATCACTCACCTGTAGCCGTCCCATCACGCCGCAGGAGTCCATGCGTGAGGCCACATTGACTGTGTTACTCCAGATATCATATTGTGGCTTTTGAGCGCCAATCACGCCAGCAATCACTGGACCATGATTGAGCCCGATGCGGAGGCGGAAGCGTTGGAATGACTCCCGATTTATCGAATCCAATATGGACATCAAAGCAATCGCAAACTCGACCAGTATGACCACGTTGTGCTCCTCCGTGCGCTTCTCGTCCTGCGGGCAAAAAGAACACGGTGAATTGCGTTAGTCCCGATACAATTTAGTCCTTATTTCCCCCGTTTTTCTAGAAACCAATTGTGCCAGCTAATCCCACTACCACACCCACTCCCACTCCCACCGTTCGACCCTCATTTGGCGACCCTTTTTTTTATCGCCTCCTTCCTCTGGCCTTTGTGGGGGCCAATGTGATTTGATTTTCCTTTTTGTTTGGTAGTTGTAAAAATTTAATTAAAGTGCTAAGCAGCGATTAAAAGGCATTTGAACAGTAAATAACATTCGGTCGGTTGGGATTTCGCTGGAGATTACAGAGGGAAAAGGTTGGAATTTAAGTTAAATTCCGAAATTGGGAGGCGAGTAGGAGCATTTAATTTCAAGCTGATAATGTTAGCCAATTTATCATCGCTCTTTTAAAATGTGGCTACTTTAAGGCAGACATTTTTTAGGACTTACCGCAAAACTACGTGACTAGATTGGGCAACCGAGTCAGGATTGTCAATGTTGTTATTTACAGGATTAGTTAAATGAAAGCATTGAAGAAACAGGCATTAGACAAGATAGAAACAGACAAAGAGCACAGGAAAATTCCCAAGAAGCTCCACTTACCGTAGCCCCATCTTCCTTGCCAGGTCTCAGGCCCGAGGCACACATGTAAGTGCTGGCTATGGTCTTTATCTTCTCAATTCCACTGAACTTGGGCTTCAACAGCAACTGGAAATGGGATTTGTTTTGTTAATAATTTCAGAAAAAATATTCCAGATTTTTATTACCTTATCGAAATCACAAATAATCTCGTTCAACAGGCGCAGGCACTCCAGGCCCTGCTTGTTCACATCCGTCTCGTCGTAAAATTCCTTGTAGTTGGGAATGGAGGCGAACATCACGGCCACGCACGAGTAGCTCTCATGGTAGAGCTCCGTGGAGCGTTCCAGATGCAGGAAATGGGTGGCCACGTGGGCCGGCAGGATATTCTCCAGCAGAATCTGCAAATCAGGTGAGCGGTTTTAATTAACATCGAATTGCTTTTATTGACTGAGTCTTGCCTTATTGATGCCCCGCATGGTCTCCACCTCCTCCTGCTCGACCTTGAGTTTGGCCTTCCACAGGAAATCTGTGCGAGCCACATACTCGCCCTGGCGATCCAGGGTGTGCAGCACCAGAATGATGACCAGGAGCAGCAGAAAGCCCTTGATCTCGAGTGGTAAACTAAAATAAAGAAACAATTTAGTAATTTTTTAGAGGTTTGAAGCCTTGTCACTCACCCATGTTCGATGTTTGTATTGTATTTGTCATTATATTTCTGAAAGAGATCGCTGTAACCAAGCACTGTGACCTGTCCAATGAGGGCCACCAACATGGCAATCAGCTTCAGGATGAATCCGGATCTCAAGAAAGCCGATATCGCTGCCAGACTGATGGCACAGCAATACAGGAAAACGGGGGCAATGGGTATGGCACGGCCTATTTCCCAAGGCTGAATATCCTCAAACAGGGTGGCGTTGTTGAATTCACTCGAAGAATTGCTGGCCAATTCGGTGGCATTCGATGGCTCAATGTGATCCTGCTCGGGTGTTGTGAAGTAAATCTAAAAGATACAATTAAAGATAAGAATACGATGATAACTAAATTCTTTTATGTTTTAAATAATTTTATGTTACTTTCATTAAAATAATACTTAATTACAAATAAAGCAGCCAAACTTACCACACTAAACACCGCACAGGAGGAAATCAGAATGTTGACTATGACAAACATGGCCAGGCGCAAATAGCGACTGCTGGCCACCACCTGACCAGGCCCATTGCGCTCCGTCGACGAGGCGTGGACATCCGGCACGGACATGTTGCTCAGATACAGGAACAGCGCCAGGGACACGAAGCTGGCCAAGAGGGAGCCAAGCAGGGCCAGGTTTCTGGTTTCCACGGCAGATAGAGGACGGAAAAGAAGGGCCAAGGGTGAGTCGACGGGCTCGTTAATGCAAGTTGATCTCACCTACAATTCGATTACAATCAGCTGGACGATGGCCAGCGAGAGGAACAGGACGAAGGCGCATATCAGGTCGAAGCGGAAGTGCGTATCCGGCTGGGCGCGGTACATGGCCTCCCGAGGCGTGTTGCGGTACCACATGGTGAACGGCTTTAGCTCCGTGGGCGGTCCGAAGAAATTAAAATTGAAACATTTACGCTCGGGCGGCAGTAAATTTGATTCAATCATGGCGATGCTCTGCAGCCAGCAAATGGGGGGGAGAAATGAAAAGGACACATTATAGTAGAGTTTGCCTTAGGACGTAAATACTTATTTATAGTAGACATTGTTTACATAAATTTATATTTTATTAAGTAAAGAAATTTTTGCTTTTGGCTTTAACTTGTCACTACTGGCCAAAAATAAATTCTTTAATATAGTTAAAAATTCTTAAAATAGTATTTGTTTTGAAAAATATTTAAAATTTACGTTTTTATCACCTTTTGTTTTATTTTCCATTAAAGCTAATCTTGTACATTTATCAAGAGTCCACTGTTTATAGCCTATAACCTAAGCAATTTTAAGGAAATTCTCTTTGCATCGCCCTATCAAATTTGCTGATATTTTCCTTAGCCTTTAAAATTTGATTTCCCATACTCCAGCCTCCTAAACCAAACCCATCAACCGATTCCATTCAATTTCCAACTTACCGCCAGCCCGATGTTCTTCACCAGCTTGGACTCGGCTATATTGGCAAAGGGTCTATCTGCGCCCCAGCACTCCACATATTTGGTCATCTTCGACGAGGGACGATTACGGGTGACATGACCTGGAAGGGTAAACAAGTTATTTTATTAAAGTTTATGAGCAACAAAGATGAAATTGAATTTGAAGATATCTGTACAACAAATTTATATCGTAAATACAACACATTTACATGAAATATGTGCTCTTAGAAAATTTATATTTATTTATATATTTATAAATATTTTAAGAGTTTTTAATTAAACTGTAGATTACAGTAATATAAGTAAAAATATCAAGGCAGCAGCCTCATAAGAAACTCATAACAAAAAGGGCTGAAGATTGCTACACAACATTGTGATATTTTTTATACGAGCCGAACAGATATTCCAAATGTTTTTGTCTCTTTACGGCATCCTTGTGGTCCAGTACGATCTCATTAATAATGAAAAATCTGTCGCAAATCGCTTGGCTTATTACACCCCAAAAAAGCTGCAGAGTTTTCACAGTTCAGCTAGTTGGGGACAGACGACAAGCTCATTAAAAGTCACCCATTCGCATTAAAAATGCCATAAAAGTGACTGTGCCACATGCCGCACACACAGCACACTCGATGTCCTTGCAAATTAAAACTCATAAACCAGGACAAAACCTCATGGCTTCACGTGCAATACTCGTCATACCCCCGATACCTCAATTCCACCATAACCATCACTGCCACCATCCAAAAATATGCCACTAAAAGGGCCACCGAAGCCCAGCTGGCTGTCAAAGGAGCTTAATTGCCTCGGTTCTGGTCCACCGTCCTCGATGTTCGTGCTCCGTGCTCGGTCCATGGCCATGGCTAAAGTTATCACAAAGGCCAATCCGCAAACAAATGCAAGACTGCGATAAATTTACGATGCAAAAGTTGCCCGGCCAACGATAAAATTATGCATAACCTGGGCTCATTTGTGAAAGTGATTTTCAACTGTTGCGCTTTGCAAGGGGGGCAACTTACCCGCATGGCTGCGGAAACTTTCGCCGCTGTGGATGGACAGCTTGCGTCCCTCGATGAAGGCTCCGGAGGAGCGGCGTCTGTCGGCGAAGGACATCAGACCTGGTGGGGGGGAAAATATGTAAGTAAAGGAGGTGGAGAGGGTGTAACATAAAAATAAAAAGCAATCATCGCCGGCAACGCTGAAGTGTTAATGCCCTTTACAGGTCCTGATTGATGGCTTCTGGTGTTAATTATTCTGTCGAAGTTTCCTTCTGTGACATTTCAATTTGTAATTAAATTGCTACAACAGCTGATTACTATGGCTTCTGAAACTTTATTCAGGTTAATTTTTCTTTAATATTTCTTTATGGATTTTTATTTGTACTTAATCTTTTTTTTTATAAATTTTTTGAAAGGATTAACTACTGTTTCACAAAGCCCATTGGATTTCTCACCTTGCACCGACAACTTTCTGCGAGATCGCTCTGGGGCCTCGGCCACTGTCAGGCTGTTGCTGGCCGAGGATGCTCCGGCTGGAGCTGCTGCCGTTGGTGTGACACTGGCCGGGTTAGAGGACGGAGCCGGGGTTCCACTATTGGAAATTCCGCTCTCCGATCCACTCATGCTAAGCAGATCCTCCGCAGGGAGGGAGAGGGCAGCTGACTTGGCCGCCGATTCTGAGGCGGCGGAATCCCCACTACCACGGTGGGCGCCATTGGGTTTCATCTCCTGGCTATTGTCCTTGTTGTCCTGGTCCTTGACCATCAATGGTTCTGTGACTGCCGTTGCCTCGTCGGCCTCATCCTCCTCCTCGGACAACTCCTTGATGGACATGGAGGCGGCCGAGGCAAGGGGGGCGTGCAGAGGAGCCTCCTGGCTGTTGGTCGAAGTGGGTGACATTTTCTCGTCAGTGATAAGCGGTGGAGGTGGATCCACTGTTACCGGGAGTAACTTCTCGGTGGCGTCGACGGTATCATGGGAGTGGTCCACATCCTTGACCTCGTCCGTGGGACTGGGATCGTTGTGCTCGATGCACTCCACCACGCGTGGAACGCTGTAGGTGTAAGCTGGTTTAGGGGGCACGATGAGATAGGTTTCTATCTTGTGGTCCGCCAAATAGGCATCCCGGTTGCCGCCCTCGCCCTGCTCCACCTCGAATTTCTCGCCCAGGAAGTCCAGAGTCTGCTTGGTGATGTGAACGCGGCTGCAGAAAGAACGCAAACATAGATGACGATTGGAAAGTTAAGGTATGATGATGATGAATGCTTGTGCGGGTGGCACATGGGGCGTATGAGTAATCTACTTTTATTTTCATTTCTTCGGTTTTTTGGATGTCTTGCACAACTACACCGAGATAAAAATTGTGAAAAAAAAAGATAAAACCTGTAAATAAGTCTATATTTTAATATTTAAAAAATAGTATTAAAATTTGCAATTCATTTGGTACTATTATAATCATATGATATTAAAAAAGTTTAATTCAATTTAAGAAGAAATGAAATCCATTTAAAAATATATCATAAAATTGGTAAAACTTAAAAAAATATTCATATTTATACAGGTCAAAACTAATTTCATATTTCTATTATAAACACAATTCTTTTAATATTTTAAGTATTTTATGGCAAGTGGAATTTTATATTTCCCCACTATTTTCTCTTGGTGTACACACACTCAGGTTTATGTAAAATAATTTAGGCGTCTCCCGTCTCTATGTCTACTCCCATTTATCTGTTTCCTACGTAATTTTGTTTATATTTCGGCTCAGGGAAAGCGCAATTCGTGCGTGAAGCCCTAGTCGAGGCGTCTGAGCGTTTTCCGGCTCATTGAGTATAGCATTTCCATTCAATTCAAAATAATTGAAGTCTTCGTATGTGACCGCAGGTAAGATAAAAGAAAACATTTCAACATTCTCAGCTAGCATTCATCTGAAGGACTCCAGCGTGACTTAAGTACGCGAAATGAATAAACCAAAAGGAAATTTGTTTGTTTGTGCATAAAAGTTAAACTGTTCTGGGAATTGGAAGGCGGGGAAGGTAGAGAGTTTTAGACTTTGGCATTTGCAAAGCCAACATTAGGAATTTCCCGGAATTAAGCTGAGCGGAAACATATTTAAAATTTAATTAGACAAAAAGGTGACCTAGAGCAATGAACATATAAATTTCGCTTTAAGCTTAATGCCAATTTTTTATGTTGTATCTTAAACAACATTTTAATAAAGAATTAATTATGGTTTTCTATCTTTAAAAATGGTTTGATATTTGAAATTAAATTCCTCATACTTTTATAAAATTTAATTAAGCCTCAACCTTTGTGGATATATCATTGACATATGTAGGAATTCCCTAATTTGTAAATTCTTTGTCAACTTTGGTTCCTTATATTTTTTGCTGCAGCTCTTCGTAACCTTAACCTTTGCTGTTGGGTGTTATGCTGACTTGAACTGAAGCCCGTTTAATTGCGGCTACACCGAGGCTAATTTAAATTGCCATTACGACTGCTTGACTCGCTTTGTGCCACCACCGCCATTAGAAAAAGCACCATGGCCTCTCTGTTCCCCCTCCCCGATTCCCACCCGTGGGTTCCGCGTTTTGTTTATTTATTTTTGTTCGCCTCGCTCGTCATCGTTGTCGTTGTCAGTCGTACAAGCATAATGGCGAAATGAGGGAAAACACTCGCCTACACAAAACAAAATTGTAAAGGTCACTGAAATACTTCTAATAATAAATTTTATTATAATTTGTAAGAAAGTTATCTTAGGCTTTTTTATTCTATTAGATTAAAAACTGTTCTTTTTTTGGGTATTTGATTAAAGAAAATTAAATTCTTTACGGAAATTGTAATACTTATAAATGTATAACTCACATATTTATACAAAATGCTATAAAGATCTCTACTAGAATTTTTAAAAACCTTTATAAGATATATAAAATTATACAGCAGATATATTTTTATGGGTTGTTGAAAACCTAGTAATTTCTAGAATACCCTGATATATATATTATATTTTATATATTTTTATAAATGTTCGTATTTATAATGTGATTATAATGACTCTGCTAGTCTAATCCTTTTTTTTTTCTATAAAATATAAATATAAAAAATCAGAGATATGTGAAATAGTGTCATATGTCAATAAAATAATGTATTCCTATAAAAAATCACCAAGTTAAATCATTATGAATGAATCATATATGAATGAATGACCAATTTGGATTAAATTTTTCTGCGAGTGCACACAGACACTTACCCGGCTACACCGCCGCTCTCCATGTGGTTGGCCAATGTAACATCGTCGCTCCAAACATCAAATTGCCACTTTCGTAGGCCAAGGACGCCGCAGAGAACGTTGCCCGTGTGGATGCCAATTCGCATGTCGACGTTTATGCCGGTCGCCTCACGCACGTGTCTGTTGGAGTAAGCGAAGGGCAAACAATGAGTGGAGCACAAAGCAGCGCCTCGCGCATATGTATTATTAAGGATATACGAGTAGGTACACAACTGCAGGCTAGTTGTGCCGTCGTCGTATTAACAATTTTATGGGCCATAAAGCACAAGCGGACCAGGTCGACTCCGGACCGATGGACGACTATTATACGGGTGGGAATAGAGGTGGGACTATCACAAAAGGTGTACATAGAAAAACTAGGATTAAGTTGGGATTGTATATTATCTAAAATCCCTGTTTTTGTTTTACAAAAGTTGAACTAATATATTTTCCTTTTTTAAGGCACATTAAACATATAACAAAATATTATCAATAAGATATAATTTTTAAAATATATTCTGGCTAAAATGTTTGTTTTTAATAAAAGCAACTTATTTTCTAAAGTTTCTTTAAGAATTTAAACAAATTCTTATTTAAAAAAGGTTACAACAAATCTCTTCAGTGTGTCCCTAGTGTTTCCTTTGCAGGAACTTTTGTTCCTGGATAGCCATTTCCACAGCAAGGACCTCGCAAACTGAAGGCTGGCCAACAAGAGTTCTTGAGTTATTAACGTTAAGCAGCATTTTCTGTTGGCCTGAATGCCGTCGGGGTCAAATGAGCCGCATCGAAGGCCAAATCACTGGGGAACCCTTCGGGGTTTTATTTGCTTTGGCCCTTCCTGGTCATTTTCTAAGCAGTGGGAGATATGGATATGGCCGCAAACGCCGTAAAAGGTATTGGATTTTTGTATCCGGATTTTGGGATTGTGAATTTCTAAGTGCTCAAAGTTTTCTCAAAACAAAAAAGTTGCAAAATTCTGATTGAACTGCATAATTCATGTAAATATATCCCAAACTAAAAGCCATAAAATCAAGATGGCTTTGCGACCAAATCCATTGCCTACATTTTGGGGTAATCGCGAGCCTTATTAAAGTTGCCCCATTTTCGGGATTATATGACAAGGGCAATGCAATTCATAATTAAATCTTGTTTGTCTTCTGCTGAAAACTTTTGGCATTTCCCCAGTTGCCTGTTAAGCTGCCCGAAAGTCAACATCTCACGAGTGCGAGTATCTTTTCGGCCGAGTTTTGTGGCAGGAACCAAGCCAGATTCTGGGGCAACTTGGTCGGGGGCATTGGTCGGCGCAAAAGATTAAAAGGCCAGAGCTCAAAAGGCACCGAAATAAGGAAGGCCCGGCACGCAAAAATAAACAATAGGAATAAGCACAGAGTCCAATAAAAAAAAAAGCCGGGAAAAAGGCATCAAAAAGCCAAAACGAGAGGCTCCTTGGTCCTGAGGCCACTTGCGTATAAATTCTCGCGTGTAATAAAATGGCCTTTGTGTCGATATTGTTTATTGTATTTTATGATGTTTCTGTTTGCCATTCTTTTATTTTCCCATCTCGTTCGTGCGCCTTTATAGCATAATACATTTTTAATGGTCCCCCATAAAGCCGAGGGTTTGAGGGGGTGACTTCACCGGAAATGCGAGGATTTCTGGCTGCAATTAAAACCCCGAAACCGGTCACAGATTAAAATGGCAGATCAAATGCGTTGACACGCCTCTAATTTGATTCAAAATTGGGATAATATGTAATTTAAATTTGCATTTTTATTTAATTTAATGTTGCTTTTGCTTCTGTTGCATTATAGGAAATTAGGAACTAAGCAAAAGTTGCTAAGAACAAATTTTAAAACGAATTAACTAATTTTAAAAGAAAGAGATTTGCACAAAAATGTGTCAGAAAATAATAATACATTTTAAAAGTTTTGCTTTTTACCTGCTTTTGGGCCACAAACCTTAAACAAGACAGAAACTAGCCAAGCAGAAGGACGCTTTATGGCTCAGTTAACTGTAAATGCAACAACCATTCCCAGCTCACCACAAACCCGACAATCACGGTGTCAAATGGCCTTGGCCAAAAGGAGCTCGGAGTGAAAGTCAAAGGCTGGCCGGGAGCGAAAGACAAACAAGACGTACACCCACCCAACCGGTGACGGTGCCCAATGCAAATGTTGACCAAGAACCAACAGAACTCGGCCAAGCAAAGACCTGTCCCGAGCCAGGACCCAACCGAAACGTGGGGCACACTCACCTGATGGCATCGATCATCTGCAGGCCCATGTTGACACAATTGGTTGCATGTTGGGGCCGGGAAATGGGCAGGCCGGACACACAGTAATAGCAATCGCCAAGGATCTTGATACGAAGGCATTGGTTCTCCTGTCGGAATACAAATAATTAATTACTATTTGGAAATTAGGTAGTCTTAGTCCTTTCATTTGTCACAACACAACAAGAAGGATGTGGGTTTATAATTTGGACGTGATTTTGATTAGAAATAAGTGTGTGTCATATTTTGATTTATTATGTATACAGAAAGTCAAATTTCAGGAAGTAAAACTAGAACTATAAGTTTTGATTTTGACTTTTAAAATCGGTTTTAAAATCTTTTAACTCAAGGTAAGGTCAACGGTTTAAATTTATATTAATTTTTCATATTATTTTTCTCCAAAGAAATATTTATAAAATTTCCTATTACACAGGTACACAGCCAAAAATTTCCACGAACCATTTCAAGTTTTCCATGATATTTGGGTGCTCCTGAGTAAAAGTCCCATACAAAATTATTTTCCATCACCTACAGGTTCCGCGGTATACCTAAGAATACAAAAAACCTATGTTTGCCGACATTTTGAATTACGTGGCCTATATAATTGGACTTACCTTTATTATTTTCGGTAGGACCTACTCTCAATACATCACGGCACTACTAAAAAATAGTCCCAATCGTGGACCATTGCCCATGTCTTTGGAATTCGACGCCAAAGTTGAAACTCCCAAAATTTTCAACATTTCTGTGATGAAAAAACAATTCTGAGAATTAAATCTTATATGGAACTAATTTTAAATATTCATTGAATCTATTGTTCATTGTATTCTTTAATTTCGGTTTAAAGCGTTTGCATGAGGACATTTTATTGGATTTATTAAACGAATAAAACCGCTTTTTTGGTTTTATTATCTACTACTATTTTCTGTCAAATTTCAAATAAGTCAAGGCAACCTATAAAATAGTAGTAGATATGTTTCTTTTTATATATAATATACATTTAGTTTTATATTAAATAAAAAGGTCTTCCGAACATAACATTTTTAAGACAGCTTAGTAGCCAGCGATAATCCTTACATATTTAAGTTTAGTCAAAAAGAAAAAATGTATATTATATATAAAAAGAAACATATCTACTACTATTTTATAGGTTGCCTTGACTTATTTGAAATTTGACAGAAAATAGTAGTAGATAATAAAACCAAAAAAGCGGTTTTATTCGTTTAATAAATCCAATAAAATGTCCTCATGCAAACGCTTTAAACCGAAATTAAAGAATACAATGAACAATAGATTCAATGAATATTTAAAATTAGTTCCATATAAGATTTAATTCTCAGAATTGTTTTTTCATCACAGAAATGTTGAAAATTTTGGGAGTTTCAACTTTGGCGTCGAATTCCAAAGACATGGGCAATGGTCCACGATTGGGACAATTTTTTAGTAGTGCCGTGATGTATTGAGAGTAGGTCCTACCGAAAATAATAAAGGTAAGTCCAATTATATAGGCCACGTAATTCAAAATGTCGGCAAACATAGGTTTTTTGTATTCTTAGGTATACCGCGGAACCTGTAGGTGATGGAAAATAATTTTGTATGGGACTTTTACTCAGGAGCACCCAAATATCATGGAAAACTTGAAATGGTTCGTCGAAATTTCACAAAGTTTAATTTTGTGTTCCTGTGTTATTACTTCCTTAATACTTCACTTTTTCCCATATTTTACCTGTGCTATTTGATCAAAACGTCCAAACAAATCGTTGAGGGTCTTGACCAGATCACTGGCCGTCAGGGAACTTGACAGGGGCGTGAAGTTGACAATATCCGCAAAGAGAATGGTGACATTTGTATGGCGCTGGACATGCAATTCGTGGAAGCGGGTGGCCGAGGTGGAGGCTTGTCCTCCGGCCCTCTGGCAGGCATCGGCCATCTTCAACATGATGCTGCGCTTCACCTGGGAATAACAACAAGCAATGGGATTATTCTCAGTAAAAACACAGCTTATCTGTTGCTCTGACATGGGATTACACTTGAACAAAAATCGGATTTATCTTTGATTAAAAAAAGAAATAGAATTTTCAATATTTAGAGTATATATTTGTAAGGGTAATCATACATAAGGACAATTTATATTTATTTTAAAATTAAAATCAAGCAAAGAATATTTGAGTTTTTGCTTTATATTTTAAAATTCCTTTTAGAATTTTGTTTGAAACATATTCACATGACTTTAAATTGTCCCAATTAAATCGCAAAAATATTCTAAAAAATATTTTTTCACAGTGTCCTTACCTCAGCAGCAATGTAGGCGGGTATCACGCTGAGCAACAGCTGCTCCTGCTGCTCCCGCTCGCATTCCAGCTTCACGCGCTGCTCGATCCCCGTCCTGGTGCCGTCGACTGTGCGATTGTGCGCCGCATCCGACATGATGCGATAGTAGAGCCCGGAAATGGATGCACTGGCCAGCATAACAATCTCCCCGAAGAGCTAAGTGCACCAGATGGGGAGAAAGGAAAGAGGGCACGTTCCATAAATAATGAATGTCTAACCCGGAATGGCAATTACCAGCCGGCACAGAGCGCATCGTTGTCCTCGCCGCGCGGCAAAAACACGATGCAACCTAATTAACGAATCACGACGAGGGGGTAGGAAACCGAGATGGAGACCCAACCGCATCCCATTAGGGGAGTTAGGGGAATTGAAACGAGCACGAGCCGGATACAAATTATTTCTCACCGCGCTAGAGCGAGGGAATATAAGCTCTTGTGCATAAAATTAGCAAAAGGATAAACTGCATTTACGGGATGAATTCTTATAAAATAAATTTAAATTAAATCCAACGGAATTTTAATAAGAAACGGGAATATAGTGGAAAATTGTTGACATTCATTTGAACCATAATGGAAACATAAATTACATATTAATAAATTCAAGTAAAATTTCACATTAATAAATAAACATCCAAAAATTAATCTGTTGAGAAGTATTTTAAAGTTCACTTAAATTTTATTAAACCTTTAAGAAATTCCACAAAGTACACATTATCTTTTATATACTTTCCCTGCCTGTTGCTCCTGCCAATTTGTGATAACAATTAAAGTTAACTCCCCAAACAAAATGTGTCATTAAGTAGACAATCCCATTGTGAAAGTGATATAAATTCGGATGCCACCAAATGCACGGGATTATAACAGCACACGTTCTCAAAATAATTGCGCTCTCTGATCCGTGGTAAGCCCTATTTGGTCGTTCCCCCCAGCACAGTCATAAGCCCCAATCATATGGAAACTAATCCAATCGCCTGTGTGCGGCTAGCCATTGTGGGGACTCCATGCTCCACGCGGAACGCAAATGAATGACGAACTCACCATTGGCAAATCGGGCGAGTAGTCCGGACTGGCGCCGATCCTGTAAACGATGTGAATGGCGGTCATGAATAAGGCCAGCACCACAGACACGGGCCACGAAATTGGCAGCATGGAATGGATGCACTGCAAAAGAACGCTCGAGATTATAATCCACAGGAGGAGCTGCAATGGGATGCGGGCTTACCAGAAACAGGGCATACATGGGCAGCGGGGCCAGTTCGTCGCCGGTAATGGCCGCAATGGTGCCCAGCGAGAAGGTGGTGACGATGGCGAAGGCCAAGGCGGCGGCCGGGGAGCTCAGAACCGCAGGGAACTGCAGGGCCGTCAGAATGGAGCCCGAGATTAGGGCTGCCAGTACGAGGAGCAAGGTTTGCACCAAGTGCTGTGGATGTCACAGAAACACAGAGAAAATAATTGGTTAATTATAAAATTATAATCCTAATCCTTCAAGGATTTTAAAGTATTTTTTTTTTTTAATTTATAATTATAATAATTATATATAAAAATATATAAAATAATAACAATTATATATAATAGATTTTTGTTTCCCTGCATAAACCTTCGCGGTAATCTACCTCGCCCAAGTGCTCACCTGTTCGTAAACGATGCCAATGATTATGGACACGACACATGCCAGCAGTGAAGTCAGCAGGCCGGATCTGAAGAGCGACTTACGCAGCCTCTGGCGGTAGCGGGTATATAAATCGTTTAGGTGGATGTCCTCGGCTGCAAAAGTGAACAAAAGTTGGGTTTATTAGTAACCTTTTAAAGAAGAAATTATTTACTATATTTCTAGTTAAAAGAAGAATGCACTTACAAGATTATCAGGTCAATTTTCTTTTTATTTTTTTATAATTTTGTATATTATATAATATCATAACAAAAAATAGCCACACAATTCTCTCTCAAATAATTCCCTTAGCAATCAATTTAGCTGACGTTATTTCCCTGACACTAATGTGCCCAAGCTATTTCATAACATTATTAAAATTTGCATAAATCCGTAGGCTTAATTTGATCATTCAGAGATAAAGTTCAGCTGCCTCCTGGCGATTCCCGGATTCGTACGTGATGGGTATTATCTCGAAGCGAATTAATTGACCACCCACGGAATCTAAGGAAGCTCCGCCCGTCTGACATTTAAATTTGACATTTAACAAAGACACACATTTCGCCAGCGCACACGCAAAGAAATTGTATACTCCGCCAAGACTTCTCATCCGATTTCATGCCACCGCCGTGCAATTTCACAGACAATTGTCTTTGGAAAGCAACTTAATTGAGCTGTCAGACAGCCGCAGGGTGTGGTCAGGACTGGCTATATGCTCACACACAAGTGGAATCAAATATCACCTTTGGGTAATTGTGAATAGGCCTGAAGGCGATTGATATATAAGGACAATAAATAAATCATTTCATGGGGAAAGCTAAATAAAAGCCAAATCTTTTACGGATCAAATGCCGGACTATTTCGCACTTTAATTGCTGCCAGCAAATTGAAATCCAGGCAGTCAAATATTTATACTCCTATCAACATTTGCAAAGCTGCAATTAAGTGTAAATATCATCAACACACACACACTCGCTGCTTTCATAAATCATCAGGCAAACAACACACCCGCACAGTTGCCTACAAAAGTGTGGTGCCCGAACATACAAATTAGCATACTGCGTTTTGGAGTTTTCCCCTATTTACACACAATTCGTAAATCGATACGCACAGATTTATAGCCCGCTAATTGACTGCGGCATTTAAAGTGTTTGATTTATTTATGGTCGTAGACATGGCCGATAAGCCGTGCTCGTTGTCAGCCATTGGATATTTGGTGGCAAGTTTAGTCTTTTTCTGTTGTGGTCGCCCCTATTTATAGATGTGTTCTGGTAACTTGATTTTTTGTCTGCCGGCTGAATTGATTTTTCTCCTCGCACGCGCCCTATTTTTCAGCCCTAACAAGCTGACCCGATAAATCAATAGCCGGCCAGTCTGAGTCCTCTTAACAAGCAGGACTCGAGTGCGGTCTGAGTGGTGTAAGGTCAAGTAGGTTCTGTCTAGTGTTCGGATGTCTGGTTAATTAATGAAGGAAAATACCGCAAATTAAGCGCACAATGGCTTGTGCAAATATTTGCATGGTGAGGGCGCATTCTTGCATATGCTTCATGGCTTTAGGAAAGCTTATTTCAAGGTAATTATTATCCGTTTAAGCTGCTTATTTTGTTGATTAATTAGTACACCTTTTCAGCTTTTTAGGATTTTAATTTTAATTCCTGTTTGTTTTAAACAAATTTTTATTGCAGCTTAAACAAGTTTTCAGCATAAATTATAATTAATTATCAGAATACATTTACCCTTTTTGGTCGTAAACATTTTAAACTCAAAAATCACAAGCATAAAAGGGATATAAAAACCTCAGAAGCCATAAATGCGTTCAAAATGCATTATTATTTATAAGCTGGGGTTAAAGTATGAAATATATATTACAATTGCTGGGCGGGGCATAAAAATGGAAACCGCAGTTAACCGCCTTGTCGACATCGCATTAAGTTGGGAATTTTCCCAGTCTAAGTGAAAAATTCAGGGAAAGCCGCAGGCGGAAAAGAAAAATAAATCGAGAGGGAAACACCGACAGCAGCGGATACCCACACATTTATCCATCCGCACTCTCACATACACAGTTCGCACATAGGGAACAGAGGAGCTGCCTTCACTTGTTTATTCTCTGCAATCAAACAGAAATTCTTTTGACACGAACCAAGGGAGAGTGTGTGTGTGTATGTCCTTATAAGCGCCAGTACAAACACCAACGTAAAGTGACAGATGCTGCCTCGTCTGAGTGTATGTGTTAGGGTGAGCCGAGTTGCCGATTTATAGCTAAAAGCAGGATAATCTATGACATATTCTACAGAATATTGTCTTGGTAGAGGTCCTGGCAAGGATTTATTAAATAATATTATAATAAAACAAGAGTCGTGGCATACTTTTTGGCGGTACAGAAAATAGAATGATGAGAAAATCCTATCAACTTTATCTTTAAAACTCTCTTTCCTTCAAAATAAATAAAATACTAATTTATTTTAGGCTTGGTTTATAATTATAAATAATAATAATATAAATAATATAATAATAAGTTAAATTGGTACATTTTACTTATATTTTCCATCGAATCAAATCAGTGCCACCTTAGTACTGGTATCTGCACGATGGCTCATAAAAAGTAAAGCGGCTAAAGTGAAACAGTTGAAGAAAACCTAGACGAAGACACGACAACGACAGCGACAGCGACAGCGACATTTGCCGATGCTTTTGGCATAGATTTTATTTTATCTCAGAGCTGAAGCGCTGAAATCCGCCATGGCTTCCCCCAGCTCTTCCCCGCATGATTAAGTATGTGCGGACACATTGTCAAGGCATCCTATCCTCCTGGCATCCTGGCGAGCAGTTGAGAAGAGAGGCAAGCGATTAGGGAGATTGAGTTCGTTGCCAACGAAATTTCATGCGGGCCGCCTCGGCATTAAAGATGCAGAGCAGCCCCGAACAGAAGCAGGAGGCTCTGGCTTAAACCCATGCCTGGGGTTAAGCTATTGGGTAACCGGCTTAGTGGCGAAGCTGCTTTTATACTGCCGCCCAAGCAAGTGCATCCCATAACAGAATCTAAGAGATGGCAAATGAAACCCGGTGTGGGTAAAAATTCAAATTGGGAATAAGAAAAGAGGTTGCAAATTTTATCGTTCGATTTTATTTATTTATTTTTTTTTTGTATACCTTGCAGGGTATTTTAATTTTAATCTGATCTATACTACAAATTAAAAATTAAAATTTTAATCAAAAGTCAGGGAGATTGCCGATGCATAATATGTCTAGTTATCTTTGTTCTTTTTTTCCTATAATTTCTGATCTGACAGTTACTTATCGACCAATTTCAATGCAATAAATAAAACATTTCAAGGCTATCAAGTGGACACTTTAATTATTCATATATTGTGGTCTTGACAGTTTATCTATAACTAATAAATGTGCCAATAAATCTGTGTGAATATTCATTTAAAGTTTAAATGCCTGTTCGATGGTAAATTCATTCCAGTTCCCACCATTTAGCCCCTGCCATTTTCCATTTATTTAGCCAACATATTTTGCACAGGTATGCTGAAATGTTCAAAATATTGGCTTTTCCTCCCCCACACATATTGAGGCAGCCTGAAAATATGCAACAGCGTTTGCCCCATGGCCATGGAGATACGGAAAATATTGCACATACGACCTGTCGGCCCAAGCCAACAACATAAAACGCAACAAAATGGAGGCGGCAAATGCGGCACTTGCATGGCAGCCACTCCAAGCTGCAACTGCCACCTGCTGCAACATTGTAAATTACATCCTACGGGGCTGGGGCGGGAATTACAAGCTTTTTGCGCTGAATCGTGTGCCGCATGGCAAGCAGATGGCACAAATGGCAGACGCCATCCATGGCAGGGATTCGAGAGCTGTTGCCGTTTTAGCGCGGAGCCTTGGAGCGGATTGCCCATGTAGTCACCCGCATCGACCACATTCTGAGGGGCTTAGTTGGACGATCTACTTGAAAGTCGTTTTGTCTGCATTCACTTTGATTTTTTATAGCCCTTTCAATGCGGAGATATATTCAAGGGATTTTTATATTTATATATTTTTCTCACAGAACCATTTTCCAATGCTAAAAGGAGCCATTATGGGTGATGTGGGTCAAAGGCCCAAAAGGACCCTTCATGCGTTTGGATATGAAGTCCTTAACACCAAATGTTTTTGGGGTTGTTGAAAGGACATTTGGCCAAATAAACACATTTATAACGAAGTGTTTAGATATTATCTTTCGACAAATTAATAAAACTTTATTGCAATGGGAATAAAAATATAAAGAATTATTGTATAACATACTTTTTCCTATACTCCTTTGTAATGTATTCATTATGAGTATACGTTTTCCCCACCCCAAACCTTCAGATACATCAACTTCTCCAAAAGAAGACGTATTCAACACCTAGCTCGCATGAATAATGTGAAATAGTATAAAGGAAATAGAAAGGAAGAGACATCTGAACAAATTGTCGACAATAGGACAACGGAAACGGAAACAATGGAAATGTTCGTAGCCACAGCATTTGCTAATGGCAGAACGGAACGAGATGGCTTCGGGCGGTGGAATGGGAAAAAGAGTGTCCTGGCAACGTATTAATCAAGGTGCAGTCAATGCGAACCTCTGAAGCCCCCAGGCTATGTGGTGGCAAAAGGAAGCCAAATTGGCAACAGACGCTTAAGGTAATAGACGTGCCAACGAAGCCGACCCTGTGTGGCACGTATCCTGCTAGTTTCTGCGGCTGAGAACGCAGCTGCCCATTTGCCTTTCTGTGCGTGTCGCTGGCACGAAGCTCGTAAATAATGTCATGGCTAAGACAAAAGCCAGGGCCAGTCAACAGTCTGCCGCTGACACTGGCAGGCGCATCGAGAACTTATTTTCAGAAAAGCTATCCCTTGCCCATTTGCTTGAGTTGACACTTTTTTGTACCAAATACCCAATGTGAAAGGGGTTACTACCTTGGCAATTAGATATGTAATCTGGATTATCTGTTTTTAAATTTTGATACTGGAAAGTTTTAAAGTTAAACAATCATATAAATAAAGAATAAGTTTACAGATTTTCTATTAACAAAAAAATTTTTACTTAATTTACTTTTCAAAAAAGTCTTTCATTTTTTAAGACATTCTCAATTTCAGACATCAATTATTTAATACATACTATTTTAATAGGTATCTTATAGTCAAAACCCTCCACTAATTTGTATTTATTTTTGCCTACGTTTTCTTCCTTTAGCTACCTTCATTTCGGCTCTGTGGCACGCAAGTCAATCAGCTATTAGACCCAAAACGCTTAAGCTTTCAATTTTCGAAAAGGTCTCATAGTGTGTGAAATCTCAATGGGTGTTCATAGTCTGTTTTTATAGCAAAGGGGGAAAAGAATCACAAGATTACGCTATTTTTAGAGGCAAACTTTAGAAACCTAAGCTTAGAAAGGTATCTTTTTGGGGAAAATAAATCATCGTACAATAGGGTTTAAAAACTCCCAAAATAAAAATATTTAAAAGGAAACTGGAGTGAATTTTAAAATTTCATAATATTCCTTACACATTCATAATAAAATATAACGCAACGTTAGTTCCTTTTTCAATGGGTTTTCAAGCATTCTACATACAAAATTTGAAGGTTTCTCTTCGGAAAACACTATTTTCTTATAAGTTAGATTAGGGCACATCCTTTTTAGATAAAGTACCTAAAACCTTAAGACACTTGTGTGCTTCACATGAATATTGAATTCCGAAATAACTCCCCTATCAATTTGCTCTTAAACGATGATTTCTTCAGCTATTCTGAATAAAACTCAAACCTTTCCCTGGAGCAGGGCAATCAAGGGACAGATCCCACAAATCTGGCATCGTAATGTGCATATTTTAGCAATAAAACGCTGACACTGCTCCGGGCGCATATTCACTGTCAAAGCAATTTGCATACATCTTTTGTTGGTTTGCCGGGCTTTATCTTTGGGGGCCAATTTCGCGGATTTCTCGCTTTTCCCTCACATGGAAGCCCGGGGAAATGGTAACTCAGATCGCTGGCACCTATAACCTTCAGCCCCAGAGCATGCAAATGTAAAAGGGTCTATTGTCGGAGATATTTCGTCTTGTGTTGTTGAGTGGCATAAATCTCATAACGGCTGAGCCGCAGATACACACACGTGTTGCCGCATGATGAATGCAAACTCATGAGCGAGGACCGAGTTATGTGTATAGAGCCCGCATAATAAGCCAGACAGCCAACAAAATGCATATACAGCTCCAGATACTTTTACAGATACAGCTACAGATACAACTACAGATGCTGTCATTCCGCTTCTGAGAGGTGTGTGCACGGCATTCCTCATTTCGCATGCAAGTTGCATTCATTTGAATTTCTATTTGTCCGATGCGCTTCGCTGGTGACAGATTTTTTCACCCGGCTTGAAATGTGGCACATTTCTACATTAATTCCGAAGAAGACATGGCCAGGTACAGATATTTTTGAATAGGACAGAAAAGAAAGCCAGGTGTTTGGATGTACTATATTTTTTACGAAGGAAAAAACCTTGTAACAAGACCAACTACAATTAATGTTCATAGCGAGTGATAGAGTTCAACTTTTTGGTTCGTGTCTATTGCTCAACTCACTTACCACCGAAATGGGTTTGTTTATCTTTCTATGGCCCGCACTTACACTCACTCGAATCAATTTACAACTTTTCAGTCAATCACAAACCAATCAGAGTGCAAAATATGAGCGCAATCACATCAAGCCAATTGTGGGTCGTTTTAGTACACTTTAGATATCCACAGAGGGAAAAGCAAATGTTGTTTATTGCTTTGAATATAAATATGACATTTGAGCAGCTGTAAAGTTGCCAAGGAAATAAATTTCTTCTTGTATTATTTTCCCATATAATAGTTTCTTCATTAACATAACCCTTTCTTATTAATTATTTAATATTATAATTATAATGATAATGATAAATGTACAATGAAAAAATATTAAAAAAATATATCGTCCCCATTGAAATCGCTACGTTCATAAGCCTAAAGCAACTAGGTTCATATCTAACCCATCTTTTCGCTCAGTGCTGTTCCTGAGGTTCACTCGGGCGCTTTGTGGCCCGGACGGCGCCATCGAGAGCCAGCCAGGCGGCGCTCAACTGGCAGCTGAATAAACAGCATCAACAACAACTGCAGGGTGCAGGGTGTAGTGTCACGAGGGGAGCCCAGCTAGGGGATGAGGGATGGCTGAATACCGTTTCATCGACACTTTTTCATTGAATTCAATTAAAAGCGAAATTGAAAATTGAAATTCAATTAAGATGCTATAAATACGCCAGTCGGGGTGCGAGGGTGTGAACAAGTGGCGAAGCTATAGAGAGGAGAGAGGAGAGAGGAGGACAGTAAAAGCACTCCCGGATAGAAAGGAGCTCTCGCCCGGGCCAATACCGATACCCGGGCCAATGATGATAGATGAGCTGCTGTCCTGGGTGCCAGGAGTGGATGAGAGAGATTCGGAATGGCCCTGGATTCGATCGATCCATGAAGGGGTGTGCGACAACGAGGCACATGATATGTGACCACGGCTTTTTATTAAACCGACTCTTCTATCTGTTCTTTTGGCTGACATTTAATGGGCCATCAACACGTTGCTTACTCGATTCGATGTCGGGGTATTAATGACAAATAAATTGATGCTGCAATCAATCAAAAAATAAGCTGCCATATGTTGCTCGAGGATAATGAAGTCTGGGAGCACACAATACACAAATCAGATTAGCATCATTAGTAGCTCGCCTTATGGGAAGGTCTTATTTCTTAGAAATGGTTTCATTTGGGGACAAAATTAATTTCGGTTTTCCATTTAAAATTTGTTGGTTTTTGGACTAATTGGAAAGTCATTCTTAAGGCTTAAAATATAACTTGCAAATAAATTAGTAGGAATAATTATTAATTGAAAGAACTTTGTATTTCAAAGCTTCATAATTTAATCTATAATTTGGTATATTTCAGAGATTATTTCATAAAAGCCAATCTTTGTTTTGCCAGTCAATTGGTAGCTTTATTTTATAAACGGCTGCTGTTTTGTACGGCCAAAGTTTCTGAGGGAGGGATGAGGTCTTTGTGCAGAGAGATGAACTTTACTGACCTAAAGGCCAGTCTTGAATTCCAAAGGGTTCTCCAGCTTAAAGTTACGAGAATTAACTGTCAAATATGACACTAAAATTCGTATTTATACATACAAAAGTGTTTATATTTTTGATGCCATCATTGTTCAGGAAACTGATCAGACGCAAATGTTGCTTTTGTATGCAAATAAAGACTGGATGCATTGTAATTTCATTCTACACCTTGTTTTTCGGATTTATTAATGCTGGCATTATAGTCGATGATGCTATTTGGAAGAAAAGTAAGTAAGAAGGGCTTTTGCCGTATTATTTGACCGTTCCCGTTACGTATTTCCACAGCCAATAAAACTGATAAATTTACCAAATGGTTCATTGTCTTTCATATTGCTTTGATGATCGCAGCCGCGGTAATCCTGCTTATAGGTATTCTGGCGGTGAGCAAGAAATCACTTTGTTTCGATCCCTATTGAACTTTAACTTTGCAACAGAAACTTTTGAAATTTGTTGTCCTTTGGATGACAATGTTCCTCATTCATATGATAGCCTACTATGTTGTCTTCAATGGACTAGTATACGGTCGGAATCCGTTCTTCAACAGCGGTCTCTCCATTTCAATTTATGTCCTGGCGATGCTGATTACTCTGGGTAAGATTATTTCAAGGAGCCAAACTTTGGATAATTGTGTGTCCTTGCAGGGATAGACTTGTATTGCATTCTCATTGTCAGTTTTCATTATTATATTGAGAAGCATCCAGATGAATTCCGACCGGCGTGTGTAGACAAATAAGATGCTTGACAAGGAGGAGGTACAATATTTGCAGCCCCAATTAATCTTCATTTTAATACTCCTTGTATATATGTACATATATACCTATAGCATGCCCCACAGCACCTGTTCCATCAAATGAGACGACTGCCAGCGTGATGATAACAGCTTGGACCGTGTTAATATGGCAGACTCAATTTTCTTTATAATTTCATTAGCATCTTGATGAGAACTGAAAACGATTCCACGCGTGCCAGACACACACACACATCGAGCGGGAAACTCTAGGCTAATGCTGATGCTAATGAGGCCATAATATAAATTGCTTAAATTGAAATTATGCAAAAAAGTTAATACTCCTCACATCACACTCAAGAGGACATGGCGGTATAGAGGGGGGGTATAAGTTCGCTTGACTTTAGCACCAACAGTTGGCTGGGCAATATAACAAGATTTCCCAAAGACTTCCTCTATGTAAATAAATTACGTATACGCCATGTGGTACACCGAACATAATATCAAGACAAAACAACCGATTAAATTGTTTTATTTAATTTTGGGTAGCTAAATTTTTAGTATTCTTTATCGTAGGATTTTCATCTTAAATATGATTTTTAATTTAAAAATTTCCGTGAAAACTTGTTTAGGTAATTTTGTACTAGTTAATTTTGCCTTAACTGTCACATTCTTTAATTTAAGTACTATGATTCTGGCCAAAAAATGTTGTTTCATTGTATCATTGCAAATTGGATGTATTATAATTGCGTTTGTTGGACTATTTTTGTCTAACATGAACATTGACACCATTATGCACATTCTTAATAGTAAATAAAATCTTAATAATTATATACAATATTTTATATTCCCATTATATTATTTAAATAGGGACTTACGATAGTGAAACCAAATCTAGATTTCCAGGTGAGTAAAAGGTTCTTTATAAAGGTAAGATATGTCACAGTATTATATTACTAATTATTTATAGGTTTAATTAGAAAAAAGAAACTATATGAGGTTCTTGATACAGATTGGTTTTTATATATTTATGAAATCCTTGTTCGAACTCTTCATTATAAGAAGCTTTCAAAACAGTGATAGTCATTTTTTACCTATAAATCATTTATATTTTTGATCAGAATCAAAAGCCTATTCGATCTAAATTTCCGAATTAAAATTATTTATTTATCTTAGTTCTATTAAAAAAACATATCTAAGTATATATACATATATACTAATTATATTAATTATATTTATAATAATAAGTTTATATGTTTATTTAAAACAATATTTATAAAATTTCTTTCATTTTAGCTCATGTTTTCCACGCATGTTTACAAATTTTCGCTGACTTATTGTTTATCTGCGCTTCCTGTCTGCTCTTCTATGCAGTTCTGTCGGTAAGTAACTTTCAATATAAGACCATTAAATAAATTAAAAAATTAACGACCTTTAGCAATGTTTCTGTCTTTTTTGGGTAACACTGGTCTTTCAAGTCATTCAGCCTGTGTACCTAATTTTATACAGTATTATTTCATCTGCAATGGGCAAAAATGTTATAATAAATATAAGCATTTGGCATAATATTATATATTGGGTTTACGTAGTTGTTTGGCTGGGTAAGGATACATTAACAAATATAATAATAATATTTTAAACATTACTTTTGATTTCAGATATGACTTTGTATTTTATATACATAACATTTTCCTATTATCGCTATTTGAAGGAGAAAGAAACTGAGAATGTTGATTAATTATTTGGTTTGTTTTTTTTTTTTATAAATTTTGAACGTGAAGCTAGTATTGTGAAGCTTTATATCATTGGATTTCTTGTCCATAAATAGGGAAAATAAGAAAAAAAGAAAATGTTATGTTTAAAACATTTTTGCTGGTGTCTTAGCTTAGGCATAGGCTGTATTGTCATATCCATTTTCACGCTATTCCATGGCTTCTTAAACATGATGGAATTCTTTCGTAAGTTTGGCTCAATTAAGGACTTATATATGCTTAAAACACTTTTAATTTAGGACTGAGGGAATATCATGATATTACGGAGGCATCAGGTAACAATTATGATTTTCCACTTTCCTCTTTTTAATGTTTATTTTTGGCTTTCAGTCTGGCCAAACCTTTTATGGGGAACACTACATTTGATTGCCTCTATGTGCTTATCCTACTCAGTGCTTAAAGTAAGCTTTCGGTGTTATATATTAATAAAATATAATATAATTTTCAAATTAACAGACAGCGATCAATCCCATTTTGGTTTACGCTATTATCGAGGCATGCTACCTAATATACGCCCTCATCTATGGCTCAGTATCCTGCGCCTTAAAGACAAATATATATGCAAAACTTAATCTAACCAATGGCATATTATTCTGGATATATGTAGTCTTAGTTTGTGGTGAGACGATAAATACTTTTAACTGTAGTAATTTGGCTAATTACATTTTTTTTTTTTTAATAGTATCGACAACCTATTCCCTTCTCACGGCCATATCGTTTTATTTACTGAAGAGGCAACAGCGCAATAGTCGAGAATTATAATTAAAAATTAAATAAGGATTTGATATTAAAGAATTTAAAATTTAATTTAATTCGATTTTTTGTACTTCTTTTCCTCGCAACAAGTTTTACTGTAAGAACCAAAACAAAAACCAAATAAATCCTTAAGGCTATTTTATTCCAACATCAAAATCCTTTCGTCTTTCATGTTCAACTGATGACATGTACAACAAGAGGTCAAATGGACAACAAACCCTCATGCTAAAAAATATATATATGCAAACATAAAATGTAGCTTATTTTGGTCCCACCTTCGGGCACTGCTCCTAAAATGCTCGTTACTCATCTGATTTTTACTATAAATGGAAATTTATATATTATTTTATAATTATTTAAGTTTCCCCAAAAGATCAAACGGCTTTAAATAATTAATTAATAATTTAAAGAATTTATTTAAACTGTAGAAAATGTAAATTCGAAGTGCGAACTTAGGAGATTTAAATTCATTATTGGAAATTTTGGATCTAAGGTCATTTTATACCGTAGGACTTGAATTTCGTTCTATTATAACAATATTGGAATTATTCTTTCAAAAAACTGTAACAATGGGCATTTTATGCCTTATAAAAATGGTTATAAAATCCAGTTCCCTAAAATCTTCTTTTCCATTTCAGAAGGCTCTGATTTATTCATTTGAATTCCAAATTCAAATTTATAAAATGTGGAAATTGATATTTCTTGTACTTATTACTTTGGTGCACAAAAGTACACAAGCGGATCAAGATGGTAAGAAAATTTACTCTACGCAACTAATAAGTGATTAAGTATCGGATATTATTTTTTACATATAAAGTATCACCAATTTCTAACACCTGTGGAGATTGCTCGATTAAGAAGTTTCCTAAGAAATTCACATCTACTGGCCACACTTGTCATGAAAAGGATGAAAACGCACTTGAGGTGAATTCTATCCAGACAGAGAGTGGGTATTCGTATCCGCAATGCGTTCCCAAAATGTACACAGTTCTACGTAAGTCAGCCTCGAATAATTATTACTTTGTCCCCCATTTTGATCCCCCTTTTTGATTACATAACAGGTCCTATAAAACAATATTGCTGCTTTTGGTCGCCGGAACTGGGATGCAGTGTACTTCTTGGGCAAAAGCAATACGAAACAGATCAATTAAAATGTACTTACTGCTTAGAACCATGTACAAGAGCTGCTTCTAGTGGAGTGCAACATACCAATTACAGAATCCTGGCTTTTATACCTTTGGCTCTGCCCCTCAAAAATCTTATTTTCCATTTCAGAAGGCTCTGAGAATTCATTCGAATTCCAAACTCTAAATTTATAAAATGTGGAAGTTGGTCTTTCTGGTACTTATTACTTTGGAGCACAGTAAAGGAAATGATCTTACCAAAGAGGAACTAGAGTGTAAGTATATTTACTCTACGATACCACTACGAAATTACTTTTGCTTGTAAAAGGGTCACAAATTTCTAACACCTGTGGAGATTGCTCGGCAAAGGAGTTTCCTAAGAAGTTCACAACTACTGGCTACTCATGCGATGCAAAGGATAATAACGCGATTGAGAGTTCTACCGAGGCAGAGAGTGGGTATCCACAGTGCGTTCCCAAAAGTTACGCAGTAGTCGGTAAGTCAGCCTTACATAACTATTACTCTGTCCCCCATTTTGACTATTTAATAACAGTTCCTGTACATCAGTATTGCTGCTTCTGGTCGCCGGAACTGGGATGCACGATACTTGTTGGGCAAAAACAATATGTAACAGATCAATTAAAATGTACCAACTGCTTAGAGCCATGTACAAGAGCTGCTACCAACAGTGGAGTGCGACATACGAATTACGGAATCCTGGCTTTAGCTGTGCCTATCTTAGCTAAGTTACTTTGATGAGTGTGGACTTCATGCTGAAGCTTAAACCATGGATTGCTTTCAGCTTGAGTATCAAGTTTAAACTACTTCATTCCATCTTAGCCCACACAAAGCTCGTATAAATTCTCCCTGACTTTTGGCCCTTTGACTTTTGGACTTAACCCGCGTTGCGCGGACACAAATTAATCAAAAATGTATAGTAAAAGAACTGTTCTATCGTCATAATTACGATTATGATTATGAAAGGCGCGCGAGTGGGGTAAATTTAATTAAAACACCAAACGCGACACGCTGGAAACGGGGAGAGCCTGATGTTATCGTGACAAGCCCAAATTAAGTAGCGCTCGGGGTTACATCAGCCGGGCAGAGAGGGTTGTGGAGTGAGCCGAGGATTGGGATGGGGCTGGGAATGAGACTGGAACTGGTAGTGGTCGGTGGGGACTAGGGAACTTGGGTTGGGCAGACTGGCAATTCAATTTAAAGACCAAACCAAGGCAACCAGCGAGACTGGCCCTGAGCTGGCTGAAGGATGAATGGCAACCAAGCTCGAGGCTTATTTAATAGACCAGCAGCCTCAGAAAGTTAAGATACAGTATTACTAAAGTATATAAAAATTTGAACATTATTTTATAATAATAACTGGCCAGTGATGATGGTTCCAACACATCCCAAACATTTTCTTTTTCAAAAGCAAGAGATTTCCCTTAAATTTCTTCTACACAAAGTTCGAATTAAGGAACCTTCACTGTACAAAGTTCCTTTTATGAAACTAATTTAATTCGAATTATATTTTTCCATTCAAGAAATAATTCATCGGATTTTCACACTCACCCGTGGTTCCATTCTCGCTCAAATCCGCCAAGGAGGCGGACAACGCCTCCGCCATCTTAGCCGCTGATGATGTCATCGTCCTAGGCTGCCCTGCATTTCCGCCGACTTTAACAATCAGATTCGTTGCATTTCCGTTTTCCGTTCTCGCAGTTTCCGCATTGTGCTCTACCATGGCGAACAACGGTGGAGGCGGAAAGCCGGAAGCGGGCACTCCTCACAGCCGCCAGCTGCGCGTTTCGATTGCCTCGCCCTGCCCCGGGCACCGCTCCGGGACGCTCCTCCTCGGCCTCGAGCCTGGCACACTCTTTCCTTCCGTGCGGAAATTGACACAAAGAATGGGAGAGTACTGGAGCGAAATGGAAAGGAAGTGAGAAGAGTAATGGGTTAGTCAGGATATTACAAATCTTTTCCTATTGTGATAATAAATAACTTGAATTATTATCAATAATATTTTTTAAACTCTTTTATTTTCAATGATAATATTTTATATCGGTCGTAAAATAATATTCATGAAATTTCCACTTAGTCCTGCTTCCTAGTATCCATTTAATATATCTCCGTTTCTTAGTTTTCCGAAAGGAAATTCAAGATGCAACAGCTATAAGTGACAGCTACAAACTTGTTGTTCATCTTGTTTGATGTTGTTAAATTTTGTTTCTGGGCAAGCCTTTTTCTAACCCAATTCCACGTAGCTCTTCTTGGATATTTTCTGTACCCAGAAAACGTATGTTTTTCTGTATGTAAATACACTGGCCTTTGTTGGCTTGAAAGTGTCTATGCAGCAATTAGAAAAGTTTTCAGCCCAACATACTTCAGAACACAACAAAAGTATGTAACTTTTAACCAAGATGCAGGCAATAGATATACTCTTTTTAGTTCATTGTGTTCCACCAAAGTTTTATTTTAACGAAATTTTATATCATATCTTCATATCTTAATTAATTTTTAAAATTTATATAAATTATATATTTCCCTTAAACAATCCAGAGAAATATTGTCACTTTCCTTACCAATTTTAATTATCCCAAAAAAGTTTGATTTGTAAGCATATTTACGAGTCTTTAGAGCTTTGCTCCAGTGTCCAAATGTCAGTATGTCAAGCGAACTCGGCTAAAGTTCTCGCATATCCTTAAGGCATGCGACATGCGAGATGCGACACTCCCACCCAGCTGTCCTTTCCCCTCTCCCACCGAATGACTGGGGCAGAGACAAAGTTTTTTCTGCCTTTGTCAAGCCACCGAACTAACTACACTTTGGTGCCACCGTTGTTCATTCAAGTTGGTAAAAGTTTCTGCTACCCACAAATGCTCAGCGTTTTCGCTTCGCTGTTTACGGCTGCATCTTTTGGCCAAGTTAAATTGTGTCAGTTTAATTTGGAGTGAAGTGAAGCTCTCAAAAACAAACTTGGTTTAAAACAATCCTAAACGGAAGTCAACCAAAATAATACATTTTGCCTTCAAAAAAATACTTTGAAATATATAATTTAAATTTATAGAAAATAAAAGATAATATAAAACTACATTTTTATATTAACTTCTAAATTTGGTTTTAAAATAATTAGCATGTTAGGTCTTCTCTGTATAAAATATATGCCTCAAATAATTATAAATAATATAAAGTATAAATGGAATTAATAATTTTCTACCTTACATTTTGACTCTTTAAAAAATAACTACAATTAAATGCCTCTATAAAATTATCAAAACAATTTCAATAGTCCTCCCTGCATCCTCTTTGTCAATAGTTTATTTTCATTTAATTTTGGCCTTGTGGAAAGACCTTAGATGGGACATATAATGGGTGCTACTGATAAGCTCCAAGTCCAACTCAAATTCATTGTCATTTCCACCGCAGTCCCGCTTTTGTTGTGGCCACTTGTAGATTTTTCACATTTTTAAACAGGCAGCCAGCGAAAGGCGACCACGCGTTTGACCCGCAAAAAAAAACACACTAGGAACACAAGAGCACTCACTGAAACTACTCATAAATAAATATACGTAGATCCATTGTTCGGCCGCATTTAGTTGGACTCGTATGGGTTTAGCTCTCTTTTCAGAACTGTTTTGTTTGGCTTTGCTCGCCGGTCCGTGTTTTCGCTTTTTGTTTTCCTTTCTTTAAGGGGGTTTGTTTACGCTCCGGCATTGCCGAGAAGAGGGGTGCTTCAGCTTAGTGCAGCGGCGTGGCGGTGGAAAAATAAAGCGAAATGGAAATAAATAAACAAAGCGTTTTGCAGGTTGCTTAAATTCATATAAAGATTAGGTTCAAGTTTGTTTATGATTTTCGCAAATATTCAATTGCATTTTTCTACTATATACCCAACTAAATAATACCCTTGATATTTTCAAATAGATAATACCCTAGATTTTTTTAAGAAAAAATTATAGGATGTAGTTTAAGGTTTTAATAAATAAAATGTTTGATATTTAAGTAGTTTGTTTCTATAATTGGTTTTTGGTATAAACATTAAATATTTAAAATTCCAACAAAATCGATGCTAATCGATGCTATATTTAGGTTGGACTTTGGTTTCTTAAATTCTTTTATTCTCAAATAAAATTAAATAAATACTGCAAACTTTTCACAGGTAGATCTCGAACTAAGATAAACACAAAGTTTCAGTTTGTTTACAAATTTTGCCACAAAACTCAATTATATATCTATTTATTTAGACTACAAATACGAGGAATCTGATAACTTTCATTTGGAAATTCGTAATTATCTTTCAATTGAAACTTTTGCCCTAAAATGTACTTCCTCAATTGGCTTTAAATTACCTAAATATTTCCCATTTTCTTTTGGGTAAACAAACTCCTTTCACAAGTCTATGGCATCGTGCCTTTAATTTCCTTGAGCCAAGCATTTTATAAGTTATTTGTGCAGTTTTCTATAAGCCATAAATATGGCGGTGTAATGTGCATTTCCTTGAATATCCGGCATTGCCATACTTTTATAGCTACCCGGCCAACGTGGCGGATGAGCAATCTCATTTGCGCTTGCTAATATTTCTGGAGAATGCACTGAAAGCGACGGCGTAGCTATCTCGTTGGCCAATTATCATAATTTTTGCATTTAACTTATTATCATAATTATCGTCTTCAAAGTTAGCAGAGCAACAGCATACTTGGAGGTGGAGGAGGAGGAGGAGCGAAGCCTCATAAATTTTCCGCTTTATTTTGTTTTTATTTGAACATTTCGATTGCCGCGTTTATTGCATTTTTAAAGGTGTGCACTCATAAAATGTCTCGCGGCTTTATCCGCTGTATATATAGAAACGTGTGTGAATATTTTCAATTTGGCAAATGTGACGACGCGTCGTCTGTTTGCTAGCCGCGAGCATTTATCACCCGAAAAATCCCCATATTCCCGCAGCAATACATCTTTCTTTCTTTTAATAAACATTTATATACAATAATATTTGCTCAAAGAGCCTTGCGTTTTTTGCTGCGATGAGGCTCCAAGTGTTCTGTGTTTGCTGTTTGAAATTGATTAAAGTAACCCCCAAGCATCAATCTAGGAGTAACGACGCCTGTTCCCCAAACAATTGTACACGGGGAGAAAAGGTTGCTTCGTTTGCTAGGCTTGGCTTATTTCCTTACTTAATATAAATGCGAATTCCACTTGTTTTGGTTGGTAAAGATTCCGTGAAATTTCGCCTTAAACTTTATGACGCCAAAAATTTCACACAAGTCCACATATAATTCCCAACTGATTCTAACATCCCCGGAATGAAGAGACGGTTGCCGTCTAGTTTTTTTTTTCTCAGTGAACAATTTTATTGAATAAGTATTCGTGAACAAGTGGGTTTCCCTCAGTGTGTCTGTGTATCTGCTCGCACGTATGTGTGTCTGTTTTTTGTATCTTTGACTTTGATCGCGCATGATTAATGATTACGCCTGTGTTTATTGCCTTCGCCACTCCAAGGGGTTGTGTCAGAGGAGACGGTGAGGGGGCGGCCAAAGTTTTCTTTTCGCTGCTTTCGGGAATTGCGATGCCCAGCGTGTGTCTCTCATATTTCAACTTGAGCACCTCAGCTTGGCGGGATGCTCGGTGTTTGTCATCATTTATATATAATGGGACAAACTTTACGGATATACTTATCATTTTTACTGAAGATGAAAGTATTAAGGGTTTTTGTGTAAACAGTATACCGATTGTGTTTCGTTATAATAAATTGCCTTAAAATGTTATATTTTAAACAACTCAACTTGAATTAGATTAACCTTATTTATTTCAATTAAAATTGCATTCAATTTCAATTTATATTTTATTCAGTCATATACTTTTCTCCACCATCCTTGAATATCTTTCCCACTTGTTCATCTGTTTTATGTTTGTTTTCAACCTCGGGTCATCTCCAATTTTCCCCTGGTGAAACTTTTATTGGAACGGTCATAAAGGCGAACATCTGCTTATGAGTAAAGCTGAGCACTAAAAAGAAAATGGCAGCTGGAGAACCCGAAACTTTAAATACCCTATATATATAGCCCACATTTTAATAAAAATAATAACCTTTAAAAAAGTTGAATCATAAAACTTATAAAACCTATAATTAAGAAAAATTAAGTTAAGGCACAGAAATTTCTAATACATTTTTGTGGATAGCTTGCCTTGGCTTATGTCAGGTCAAGCCAGAACAACGCCAGTCCAAATAACCAGCTTAAACTTTAAGTAACATTTCAGAAAAGCCACCAAGAGAGGAACAAAAGTGTGAATTAAAACTTAAAAGGGCTCTGTGAAACTTTTTTAATTGAATGCCCAAAAACGTCGGCAAAGAGATTTCGGTTTCAATGCAATTAGAACGAGTACAGGCCCTTGCATGCTTCAAGCGCAATGGGGTTCGAAGTGCCCAGCCACAATGGCATCGAGTATACGCAGTGTTGGACCACAGCAGGTCAGGAGGACTCCTCAATAGCAAGCTAATTTTTGTTTTCTAAGCTCAAATTGCTGGCCAAAAAAAATATACAAAAAAACAAATAGACGATATGTACATAAATTTCTGTTGCTCTTGGCCTATGAATGCTGATTCATTAGCCAAACCTTTCCGACCGCTGCCTGAGAGCCATTTAAATGCGAATTAGGGTAACCATCGCCCTTTGGGTGGGTGTATATGTGTGTGGTTTTTGTTTGTGTGTGTGTGAGGGGTGTGTGTGGGGTGTGGCTGGTGTGGTTTGGGTGGTTCTTGCGGATTCAAGCCCCTAGTTCTGTGGTTTCGCCTTGGCACGTCCCAGCTTGCCTTGAATTGCAATTGGTGGGTGGATGCGTGACTCTTGCCGTTTTGCCTGATGGTGTTTAATTTGATTTGGCACAGAATGCATAAACTACTTATAGGGAAAACATCAATTAGGG